GCAGTCCGGTGTTATGCCGAAAACTGCATGTCTGCTGAGATATGCATCCCCAGTCGCGGGCGGGAGCGCGCCTCGCTCTGTACAACTGCATTACAACAAGGAAAACAGATTAAAATATGACCAATGGAGCTACTTGTTGTTATATTAATGATATAAAAACGTTAAAATATACCTCTGGTGGGAAAACAATTGTGGTTATTTGGCAGATTATCGGCTGGTTTAAGCCACTTTTCTCATATCCTGACAAATTTTAATGTTACAGCCGTTTTAATTTCTCAAAATTATATTTGGTTGAAAATATGCATTATAAAGTGTAAATGACCACAGACTGTATGAAGCAGCTTGATGTTCTATAGCATGTTTCCACAACCGGGGAGGTCCCCACTAGGGGTCCTCCGCCAGGGTGTTTTGCGAGGGGTACATGAAAATATTTTCTTAGGTAGTAAAATAAAAAAGGGCTGGGATCTGTTATGCCTTGTAAAGACCCAATTGAAAAAGTGAAAAAGATTTGATCAACCAAAAAGTATGTTTTTCTTTAAGTTCAGCTTCAGCTGTGACACGCATCCCAACCAAGCAGAGGAACAGACTGCATGTAGAGAACAGCCTGGGATCAGCTGTTTTTCACCCTGAGCTTTCAGAGCTTAACAAAGCAGCTCAGTTTTTTTATGAAACCAATCAAACTAATTAAGTTAGTCTGACTATAATTTTTGTTCTGAATTTTGTTCCCAATTCACCAAGTTTAAATGTATTTATAAGGGAGTTACTCATTGGAGCTTCAGGTTTATAAATACAGGTTTATATTAGGATTTTATTTTGTATTCATTTCGATTCTTTACTAACTTCCAGGTAACAAATTTATGTTGTTTTTTTATATCAGATTGAAAGAATACAATGATAAGAATTAAATGCTCATATTAAAAGATTAGGTGAAATAGTCTTTATTTTATCATTAGTTATTGTACGTTCCACTTTTGGACGATCAATACTTTTGACTGAGAGGGGAGAAACTGCCCAAACTAATACCCAAGTCAAAAAAGGTTGGGAAACACTGATCTGTAGGAAAAACAAGCTTTTCACACTAACCAGAAAGCTTCCTGGAGAGGTGGCGAAACGTCTTCAAATCTTGAAAACCAAGTCCAGTGGATATTTTTTGAATTTTTACGGAATAACCAGAGCTGGTTAATAATTATTTGAACTTTATTGATTTCACATTGGAGACATTCACCTCTGCATTTAACCCATCCCCTTGGGGAGCAGTGGGCTGCCATTGTGCGGTGCTCCGGTACAGCATAGGGTTAAGGGTCTTGCTCAGAGACCCAGAGTGGAGGCTGTGGGGATCAAACTGGATACTTGCAACCTTCACAGAGCACAAGCGCACTGCCCTACTCACTAGGCCAACACTCCTGCTGGTTTCAGCAACTTTTCTCATATCCTAAGAATAAATGTTGCAGCCATTTTCTTTTCTGGCAATAATGTTTGGCTGAATATATGCAATGAAACGTCAAATTGGCCCGAAATTCTTTGATCAAAGCTTGCAATCAGCAGCTTGATGTTTTATAGTGAAAAAAAACACGAATGCTGAAGTCTGTGTCTTTTCTGGCAATCATATTTAGACTTAGACAACTTTTATTGACATTTTGTATACACAGAGTGTATATAAAACTCAATGAACATTTTCATTCAATAAAGTGCAGCAGTGATCAAATGTCAGGGTTCCCACGGGTCCTTAAAAAGTCTTAAAAGGCATTGAATTCTGCAAAATAAAACTAAGGCCTTAATTGGTATTAAAATGTCTTAAATCAGTCTTTCATAGGTCTTCGTTTTTAAAACAACATAAATAGGATTATTTTTATTACGATTTATTTTTGTAATCTAAATAAAACATTAAAATTGACAATTTTTTATTTAAAAAAAGTAACGACTCGCCATTATTGGTTCCGTCCCGATAGCGGAACCAATAAAAGCGTTGTTGCGGCCGGGACATTTGGGAGATGCACCATTAACTTTTTGTCTGGAAAATATGAGCAAGTGTAAATGTAACTTAAATTCTCTATCCAGCCAAGAGTTTTCTCCATGGCTAAAACCAGGGAACATACATGAGGCACAGTGTATTTTGTGCAAGAAGTCATTCAAGCTCGGAACGATGGGACCTAAGACAGTGGAGTCACACATGCGAAGCACGAAACACAAAGCGTCAAAATGGAGTTACCGAGAAACAGCTATTTCTCAGTTTTGTTTTATCCTTGTCTCTGCAACGCCTCCACTTATCACTAAATCAAACATACTAAGAAAACGATACGAAGAAAAATAGCTGCAAAAAGACTTAGCACTGGTTATGTTGTGGCTTTAAAACTGATTTGTTTTGTTCGCTGCTAAAACAAAGTTTGCAAATTCAGTTAAATAATTGTTAAAATATATCTGTCATTTGTGTGTTTTTTAGCTTTCTTCCTGTATGGGAAGCTTTTCAAAATTTGAAACATTGGTGCAGTGGTTTATGTCAAAATAAACCTTTGGGTAAAGTTGTCGCAAGCAGGTTTTTCTTGTGAATTTGGTCTTAAATTTTTATTTCAAGTGGCATTAAAAAGCCTTAAAAGGTCTTGAATTTAACTTGCCTTATGCTGTAGGAACCCTGTATTCTTATTGCTGCTAGTGAGGACTATTATATAATTGTTAATGTCAGCTCCTGTAACTACTCAATATCTGACTCATTTTGTTAAAGGCTGAATGTTCCATAGAGGTGTTTGTAAAACTGTGCTATGCTACTATAAAACTGATATCCATGTTCTCTAATTAAATATGTGATCTTTTAATTAGGCTGTTCTTCTAATCACAGACATTAATCAGATGTCTGAGGAGGGTAGAAAGAGGTGGAGAAAGAGCGGAACAAGCCGTTTTTTTTATTATCGGTGAACAATCTTAGAAAATGGTCAAATATGAGACTATTTTATAATATTTCATTGCTTTTTTTTACCAATTTAATAATTTAACATTTTCTTATTTGCTTTATTAAATAGTCTAAGCCTTAGAACATGCTGTCTACCTGCATAAACAAGACATTTTTTACTACTTATTTTTCTGTATAAAAGTGAAGAAAAGAAAAACAAAAACAGAAGATTGTCATAATCCGTGAATTAAAAGTTTAAGGCTCCTCACTATCATTTACCTCTTCTACTCCTCTGTGTGTGACCGTGAAATACCTGGAAAAATTGAAAGCGGCATCTTTTAATCCTTGAGGAGCCTGTCCCTTATTATCTTTGACACTTTAAAGAACTGCAGCTCTAACTTGACATGTTGAGTTGTCCGCCCCTTTTCTGCTCAGAGTCTCTGAACCAAGGACTTCGTCAGGTTACTCTTTAAATAGAACGGATATCTCCGCACCGCTCGCCACCACCAGTCATCTTCGATAAGCGGCTGTCAGAGTCCAAGGCCGAATGCTTAAATGGGTTTGATGATCATGTGTACCCGAGTTATCAAAATGTTATCCGCAGCCTTAACCTAAATGGTTACACCATCAGAAAAAGGTAAAAAAATATGATTATCATTCACTGAGTGCCTGTCTTGACAGAAAAGGAGGCTTAAAATGAGCAGGGTGTTAACCCGTCTGTCAGCACAACTTTCTGTGATTTATAGAGAAGCTCTGAGGGGAATGTCTATGAGGGCTGCCTTTGAAAAAAACAACCGCACTCAGTTTTTCACTCCTTGACCTAAAGGGCTAAAAAGGCACTTTTAATGTTTAATGCAAACAAGGCAGGAATATCAGAAAGCAGAATGAACGCCCAACCACGCAAAAACTAAAAACTGTTTATTAGTTAAGAAAAAGAAAAGAATCATATTCCCCGTTTATTCGACCACAGCAAAAAAATCTAAATCATGTCACAAACTCTGCATCATAGTACATTCAGACCTAAAGCAGCAAGAGCTGCAAAAACACACAGGATGCTTCATTTTTGATACTTGTATAAGTTTAGTTCTAATGCACGGCTGAAGCATCTCTGCTGCTCTGGCTGCGCGGTAGAAAAAGTGGGTCTGATGCGCGTTGGGCGGAGCTACCCTATGCTTTCTTTGCCTGAAACAATGGCAGCTACATTTGCTGTGATCAGTGGGTAAAAGGTAGTTTTAATTTATTTTGAAGTGAGAAAGTCCACCTGAAAACTTCATCTGTGCAGTCAGTTCATCCAGATTACCATCCTGCCTTCAAATATTATTTCGCTGTCGGAGCAGCTCAGACCCCCACATTCCGGCGGTGAGCTGTCACTAGGAATCCCATTCAACAGCAGCCTATGGACAAGTCGTCTTTGTGGTTCGCCACGGCGGCTGGAAGGCGTTTTTCATGTACGTAATCCAAACTGCAGAGACAGGATAATAAGATCGAACATATTTTGCCGGCAGATTTCTGCATTTTAAGTTAATTTAGGCGTTAATAACCTGTTTTAGAAGAGCGATCATAGTGATCTGTATCATCAGTGATGGGTCACTCTCCTGCCAGCTCCCACATCAGCTTCTGTGATTGTTTTATTTGGCGCATTGCGGAGCAAAAGTTCAGTTTTTCAAACTCCAGCAGCTGCTGCGTTTGCAGAGCGTTTGCAGCTGCTCAGACGCGCTGCTCCGGCTGCTCAAAACGCGTTGCGGGATGTTTTGCTGCGCCTTGATGCGCGTCAACCATTGACTTAGCATATAAAGTAGCTGCTTCTGCTGCCTCTGCTGCTTTTGGTGTGAACGTAGCATCACACTGATAACACCAAACCAAAAATACTGCACATTTGCACTATATATATTAATGCTCTGAACTTCCATATAAATGCATTTTTTGGCCCATGTTTTTTACTCCCACAATGTTTACATTTGATCTCTGCTGCACTTTATGGAATGGAAATGTTAATTTATGTCTGAAAAGCTGTACTAAATGAAATGTTGGCATGTATACACTCTGTGTATACAACATGACAATAACAGTTGTCTAAGTCTAAGCAGCATTCAGGAGTGCTTGTTTGTGAGCTCACCATAGCCGTGGGATCTCTTCATGTGGTATTTCATGTTGCTCTTCTGGGTGAAGCTGATGCTGCACACCTCACATTTAAAGGGCTTCCTCCCAGTGTGCTTGACCATATGGACCTGCAGAGCGCTCTTCTGGTTGAAGGCCTTGTCGCACTGGTTGCACTTAAAGGGGCGCTCGCCTGCAGCAAATCACAGACAGCAAATCAACATGCAGCAGCATCATTTTGATAGGTCATTAAAAAGGTCCCCGATGGAGATATGAGTATTTGCATTTGGGTCAAAATAAGCTGCTCTTTTTGAAATGTGGCAGCTTGAAGGCAGCTGTTGGAGAAATCAGTCTCCACTTCTCTTTTAAAACCTCAGACGTTTTCATAATGCTAAGAATTGTTTGAAAATCTCAGCAGTCAGTAAAAATCAGTCGTCCATCAGTCACTAAAGAAAGCTTGTTACCAATAAGAATCCTTATTAGTCAGCAGCTCCTTCCCTGATAATCCAGCTGTCTGCCTGCATAGATAGAAGCCATATTTACTATTGCTTACAAATCAAAATAAAATATATATTGAAAAATTTTTCCATGAAATACCTGCCTGTTTGTTTCTATTAATGTTGCCATGTCTTTTATCATTGTTTAACTAAAGTACTCCTGTTGCTAAGCTTAACAAAGGCACTGATTTATACAGGTGCTGGTCATAAAATTAGAATATCATGAAAAAGTAGATTGATTTCAGTAATTCCATTTAAAAAGTGAAACTTGTATATTATATTCATACATTACATACAAACTCATATATTTCAGATGTTTATTTTGTTTAATTTTGATGATTACAAATGACAACAAATGAAAATCTCAAATTCATCATATCAGAAAATTAGAATATTACTGAAGACCAATAAAAACAAAGGATTTATAGAAATGTTGGCCAACTGAAAAGTATGAACATGAAAAGTATGAGCATGTACAGCACTCAGTATTTAGTTGGGCCTCCTTTGGCCTGTATTACTGCAGCAATGCGGCCCGGCATGGAGTCGATCAGTCTGTGGCACTGCTCAGGTGTTATGATAGCCCAGGTTGCTCTAATAGTGGCTTTTAGCTCTTCTGAATTGTTGGGTCTGGTGTATTGCATCTTCTTCTTCACAATACCCCATAGATTTTCTATGGGGTTAAGGTCAGGAGAGTTTGCTGGCCAATTAAGAACAGGGATACCATGGTCCTTCAACCAGGTACTGGTAGCTTTGGCACTGTGTGCAGGTGCCAAGTCCTGTTGGAAAATGAAATCTGCATCTCCAAAAAGTTGGTCAGCTGCAGGAAGCATGAAGTGCTCTAAAACTTCCTGGTATGTGGCTGCGTTGACCCTGGACCTCAGAAAACACAATGGACCAACACCAGCAGATGACATGGCACCCCAAACCATCACTGACTGTGGAAACTTTACACTGGACTTCAAGCAACGTGGATGAAGTGCCTCTCTTCTTTTCCTCCAGACTCTGGGACCTTGATTTCCAAAGGAAATGCAAAATTTACTCTCATCAGAGAACATGACTTTGGACCACTCACCAGCAGTCCAGTCCTGTTTCTCTTTAGCCCAGGCAAGACGCTTCTGACGCTGTCTGTGGTTCAAGAGTGGCTTGACACAAGGAATGCGACAGCAGAAACCCATGTCTTTCATACGTCTGTGTGTGGTGGTTCTTGAAGCACTCACTCCAGCTGCAGTCCACTCTTTGTGAATCTCCCCCACATTTTTGAATGGGTTTTGTTTCACAATCCTCTCCAGGGTGCGGTTATCTCTCTTGCTTGTACACTTTTTTCGACCACATCTTTTCCTTCCCTTCGCCTCTCTATTAATGTGCTTGGACACTGAGCTCTGTGAACAGCCAGCCTCTTTAGCGATGACCTTTTGTGTCTTGCCCTCCTTGTGCAAGGTGTCGATGGTCGTCTTTTGGACAACTGTCAAGTCAGCAGTCTTCCCCATGATTGTGTAGCCTATAGAACTAGACTGAAAGACCATTTAAAGGCTTTTGCAGGTGGTTTGAGTTAATTAGCTGATTAGAGCGTGGCACCAGGGGCCATCAATTTTGAACCTTTTCACAATATTCTAATTTTCTGATATGATGAATTTGAGATTTTCATTTGTTGTCATTTGTAATCATCAAAATTAAACAAAATAAACATCTGAAATATATGAGTTTGTATGTAATGTATGAATATAATATACAAGTTTCACTTTTTAAATGGAATTACTGAAATCAATCTACTTTTTCATGATATTCTAATTTTATGACCAGCACCTGTATATAACAATGAACATCAAACATCTGCTGTTTATTGACCTTGATGGTGCACAAAGGAACAGCAGTGACGTGAACCGCTCCGCAGACGGACAGAAAATGTTTGGCATCTTTTAATTCATGCAATAGGATCTGATAATATCACTAACTAGGAGAAAAACAAGGTTTTCCATTTAACAAATTTAAAATGAACAGTAGGAATATTAACTTTTTTTTTGAGTGGGGTGGTGTAAAGTCAGTTATGAGATATTTATTCAGATTTATTCCCCTTAAGTATAAAAAATATGGAACCATTAGATGAGCTCTGAACCGGTTTTTCAGGTCAAAAGGGATGAAAGGGACGACAGAGTTAGTCCTATGAAAAGCTGAATATATATAAAGTATTTAAGATGAAATAAAACGTCCTTGTTCGTAAATGTGCTCTACCGTAACCCTCAAACGGCATCCTTTTAGCTCAACTGTTTAAACTCTGTTAAAGTACACAATTTACTGTCAGATTGATTGAAAAAACTATTAACTAATTAACTTCTAAGTAAAATAATCATTCCAGCTCTAGATAATAAACTTTCTGATGACATTGTTGAAAATGGGAAAGTCCAGAGAACACATCATCAGATGCCATAGGCGTTTGATGAACTTCTGCAATAAGCAAATGTTTACAAGTGAAGAGCTGCTCATTAAAAGTTGGTCTTCACTAGAATAAAATCATAAAAACAATCAAATAAATAAACTAAAACTCCTGGAAAGTGGATAACATGGTAGCTTAATCTTGCTACCTGGACAGTGAGGATGATAATAAACAAGGTTTAACAAGGTTAAAGCTGCCTTTGTGTGTGAAGCTGCTTGAGCAGCAAAAGTAAAAAAAAAAAAAAAAAAGTAATCACATTTACAAATTACTTCCTAGATCATTTTAGACCACTTGGCTGCAGAGGCTCAGAAAATAACAACACAAACTATAATGTTGTTTTATCTGACAGCTGGTAATTCCTGTAAGGAAAAATGAAAGCACCAATCATCTGCTTTACATATTTTACTGCTAATCAGTGTCCAGCTCTTAGCAATCATCCATCCATAGATTACAGCAAGGACAGCAGACACTCAGATTTTCTATTCTATTACACATGTCAACATTGCTCAATATGAGTTCTCATACAAACCAAGCATTACATAAATGAGATGATTAGCCAGGACCACCCTCTCCTTGCCCCTCTCTTCTCAAGCACCCTCCAATAGGTGAAGTTCGTCCTTTCTTAGCCGCTGACAGATTTGTAATTACACCCTTTTTTTTTTTTCTCAGCTCATCTCTCTATAAGGTTCAGTTTGAATCTAGTAATGATTTGTTATATTGAGCATAATCAAAGTTGAGCATTTGGAAACTGGTAGAGCCGCAGCAGCAGCACAGAATCCTGTTGCTGCCAGTGAGGAAACACACGGACCGAGGCGCTCTGCGGCCAAGTCCATCAGAGGAGATGAAGCTACAAATCAAGTCCTCTCTGTTTGGTGTCGCCTGGGAGTGAAGCAGGTAATGAGACAGAAATCAATCTTCACTGACCACACTGCACTCAGCCACCCCGCCGTCTACAGAGCCACTGAGCTGGTTGAGTTTTTCTTTGAAACCAGAACACATTTTAGAGTTCTGCTACAGCAGAAAAGGAAATTAGTTGAAGAGTTTTAAGAAATAAAAAAAAGGGCTCTTGTTTAATTTTGGAGTTATTAAAAACACTGTGTCCTCACTTCTGAGTCAATAAAGTCCCATTAAAAAGATGGAAACGCTTATTACAAACCCAATTTGGCTAATTAATTATTTACGGACAGAAATGCAATTTGGCTTCCACTCAGTATTCCACAGAAACAGCAAATTGTTTCTTGGTGGAAAAACTTTTTTGGGTTTAAAAAAATTAATTTGATACAGCAAACCTTAACATTCTGCTCCAAAAACTCTACAGTGATTTAAATCATATCTAGAAGGGAGCAGGCCGTGTGGAGTGAGCAATAAAGTGAATTCTAACCTTCTGAAAATAAACCTAGGAGTTCCACAAGGCTCCATTCTCTCAATTATCCACCTGATTCATGTTCAGCAGCTGGTTTTCAGATGTATGCTGATGATGCAGTGCTTTACATGCGAGGGGAAACTGTCCAATCACCTACAGAAAGTGGTGGCGTGGTTTCAAAACGCCTAAAGAAACAAGCCCATAACTGAACAAATCAATCTATATATAAGCGATCTCAACATTACACAGGTATGAGAGATCAAATATCTGGGCCTGGTTCTAGACTCCCAGCTTAAGTTTGAACGCCACATAAAAACAGTTTATAGAGTTACTAAAGCAAAACCTTTCACTTTGTCAATGATCAGGAACCACCTGCAATTCCATGCTGCCCGCATGTTTATGTACAGTTGAGCCACCAGAGATTATCAATAACAGAGTTTTGAAAATACTGAATCACAAACCCATCAGATCACATCACTAAATTAGTTTGAGAAATGTCAAACGGTAAATATTGGAGCTATTTAATGTAAAGTTTGGTTGAGCTGTAAAGTGCCTTGAGATGACATGTGTTGTGAATTTGGCGCTATATAAATAAACTGAATTGAAATTGAATTAATCCTATATTGACCCTTTTTTTTTATCTTTTGACACTCTATTTAAAGATTCCTTTGCAGAAAGTTGCAAAACATGGTCATGATGTGCCAGGAACTGAATGCTCTTTATGTGTATAACTCAAGGTCCCTGCCTGCATAATGGAATATATGTGTATCACCTTGCAACTTACTCCCCACACATTTCTTTAGGGTTGCGGCGTGAACTTTTGTAACTAGGGACTCCCTATTGTAAATAAAGAGAGAGAAGGATGGCAAGTGTGCTTTAAAGCAGGGGGAGATTGTAACTGTAAACCCAGTGGGCCTCTGCAGATGGCTGACCACACCGAGTCTGGTTCTGCTGGAGGTTTCTTCCTGTTAAAAGGTAGTTTTTCCTCTCCACTGTCACTACAAGCATGCTTATTGTGAGGGATTGCCTTCGAGTCAATAAGTCAATGCAATCAACTGGTTTTCCTTGGATAATAAAACTTTGAATCAATTTGACTGTATGATCTGATGAACTGTAAAGTGCCTTGAGATGACATGTGTTGTGAATTGGCACTATTTAAATAAACTGAATTGAATCAACTGATCACCTCTCTGTCCGTTCTCCTCACAAGTAATAATAATTTAGCCTATTGTCCTTCTTCCCCAGTTTATTTTATGTTATTTAAGCCAGTGTTTTTCAATCCTGGTCCTCAAGGCACCCTGCTCTGCATGTTTTGGATGTTTCTGAGCTTCAGCACACCTGGTTCAGATGATTGCTGTTCAGGTAAGCCTGATAATCTGCTATCAATTGATAACAGGTGTGTGAAAGCTGGGAAACATCTAAAACATGCAGGGCAGGGTGCCTTGAGGACCAGGGTTGAAAAACACTGATTTAAGCCTAACAGTTAACTTTAAATTAAATCAATTAAAGTTGATGTTTAAATGCTTTCATCAAGCCCCACTGGTCCTCCCTGAGTGAGTAGTTCCTCCCAGGATTCCAGAACCAGAGGAGCTCAGACATTAGGTCAGTCAGCCCTGAAGTCTTTGCACACTGAACTGAAGGGAGAGACCGACTGGGGTCCTTTTTAAACATAAAACTCAAAGACTTTATTCCGTGGTCAGGCATGTGATCACTGATAACCTGTGGATTTTGCATATTGTGCCTTTTATTGCGTGCTGTACTCCATATTTTGTTTTATAAAGAGCCATCTAGGGACGGACGCTGAGAATTAGCATTTGCTAAAATGTTGTAGTGTGTAAAATGAGCTTATGAAAAATACTTGTCCCTATTCAGATAAATCTAAATTCAATTAAATTCCCCTTCAAAAGCTGCTGCAGCAACAAATTAACATAAACAATTTGAAATAAATGATATGCTATCAATCAACGAGGCAGCATCGACAGCTTTCGATATTTCAGCCTTTCTTCAAATGCAGAAGGGCTTTAAAAGGATTAGAGGCACATTAAATCAATTAAAGGCTGGCGTTCTGAAGGTTAAGCTGCAGCCAGATTGTTTCCCTGACTACATCTCTAATAAACAATTAAGTGGAATTATTGTCAATATAAAGTCAGAGTCATCACCACAGCCTGGAATCATATTTCTTTCACATTTTGCTGTTTATGTAGTTTTCAAGTTACGACAACAAACTTTAAAGGCCATCCTCCTTTTCAAAAATGAAAATAATTGGAAAGCATCTATTGACATGATAATGAGTTTAAGTTTTGCCACATATTGTCAGTCGGCTTTAGGCTTTGCTCTGTTCTACTCTGATTTAAACCGCTCTATCATGGTTCCATGTAGTGTTCCTGTTTGACGATGAACATCTGCTCTGTTTCAGGTCTAACAGCTTTTCTTCTTCCAGGACTGAGCTGTGTTAAACTCCATCTTTCTTCTTATCAAGTCTATAGGCTCTTTGTCCTGACCGGAGAAAAACATCCCCATAGCGTGAAGTTTTCTAATATTCTCCAACAAACCTCTGAGGTGTTCACAGAACACCTAGTTTGATAAAATAACAAGTTTTCTTGCCTGTCGATAGCCTTTAAAAAGCCAATTCTGACTTTTTTTTCCCCTGTAATTTAAAATTTTTTCAAACTTTTGTAACTGACCGATATTGGTGTTTATAAGGTCACAATAAACCTTCAATGTGCTAATCTTATTTTACTGGAAAAAACAAAACAGGTAGAACTATTGTTTTATTCAGAGGTATATGGGAGTAAAATGTTTACAAGCCCTGTATCTGTAATATTTTTTTATGTCCTGAAGGACCAATTGCCATTTCTGTCCATTTACAGAAAACGACTTTACCAACACTAATTAGTATTTGATGATTCTTAAAGGCATACTGTGTAACTTTTTGGCACTAGGGAAGCTAGACTTGTAATTGCCCATATTTTGCTTCTAATAAACTTAAAAAAAATAACAAAGATATATGACTGTATACTAGGAGCAAGGAGTTAACTTGCAAGTCTAATAATAAAATTGAGAAAAGAGAATCAGTTTACATCTCGCTTCGTCTTTCAGCCTGCGCCAACGAACAAACTCCTTTCCATGATCGACTCTTGCTTTTCCTCAGGCACAATCTCTTTCACGTTTTCTCTTTTTAGCCTCCTCAAAAGGTTCTAACTTTTCCCTTGCCTCCGCCATGACCAGTAGTCAAGCAGGCGGACAAATGGTAAAGCAATAGCCTTAGCTCCGTGAATATATCAGAGTCTATGGCTGTAAAGTGATACGTTCTTCTAGGTCATGACCTGGCCAACGACAATGCATCTTCTCCCAACTTAAATAGTCGGTATTTCAAGAGGGGAGCCTCGCTTGCAGCATTGATAGTGTCAAGCTCTGTATATTAGCCTGAGGAATCATTTAACAATACTCATGTGCGTCAAATCTTCAGGTCACAAGGTCTGTGGTGGGCCTTTAAGGGGTTACATTTGTTAGCCACTGCTGCCATTAGTGTATTTTATAGACATGAATCAAGAGAAATAACCCCAAGCTTGATCTCACCTGTGTGTGTTCGGTTGTGTCTCTCCAGCTGGCTGCGTTTCGCAAATGCCTTGGCACAAGAGCAACAGTTGAAGACTCTGGGTTTCTGGGAGCTGGGTGAAGGGCCTGGCTGGTGCACCCGTTCATGATCCTGAGAAACAAATCATTCATTTATGTCTTGTGATATATTTTCTGCCTGAATTCAGCCTGGATTCTTTTAAACAAAAAGGTGCCCTGTACTAAAAAATGGTTTCTGCTAAAGTGTTAGAGTAGTGTTAGAAATATCATATAATCAACATGAAACTTCACCAAAACAATATGAATACACATGGGGGGAGGGATGTCTTAGAGTCTTTATAAGAAGGTTAAGTGGTAAAATGTGCCTTATTGAATCCAATATCATAGAAATGAAGCTTAAGCATAAATTGAATCTGGAAGACTCTTATCAGCTTCACCTGAACCACGTCCGATGTCCCTCATTCAGCTCCAGCCAATCAACGCGGGCGCTGCACCTTCTCAGTCCCACTCACCCTCTGACTTATTCCATCACCAGTCTCCGGGCTTTTCCCTTTTCTTGGTTACTAATCCAAGCGTATGTTGATTCACAGCATCAAAGTGTTCTGCCGGGGCCCAGCGCCAAATAACTTATTTTATCTATGTCCTTTTATGCTTCTGTCTCCTTAAACCCAGTTGGGCCACAGATGGGTGATGGAGGTTGCTTCCTGTAAAAAGGGAGCTTTCCTCTCTACTGTCGCTACATGCATGCTCAGTGCGAGGGATAGCAGAGAGTCAATCAGTCGTTGCAATCAGCTGGTTTTTTTTCTAAAAAATATTTTGAAGAAAATGATCATGTGACCTGTATAAATGAATGTAATATTTTCCAATTGCCACTTTTCTATTTTCTCTGTGAAACAGACAAACTCACCCACCTGGCAAGGCAAGCTGCATCCTGAACAGCTCATACAGCTGAAGGACTCTAATCCACTCAAAACGATTTCAAATCAAAAGCAAGCATATTATCCGTCTGAGGTGGTGATTAGCTTTCTGTATGTTAGAAAAGGCCAACTGTGATTGCTGAAGATTAGATCTCAGATCACTAAGCATGTGGTCTTAAAATGGTACTTCAATAATAATAATAAAGGTAAGGCACACTTATGATATTTTCAACGGCGACAAAAAAGAGCACTTAGCCCAAGAGTCAGACAGAGTGTGTTTGGTCTTTTTTTTCTCTAGTAAAAATCCTTCTATGTAATAAATCTTATGTTGCTCTAAAACCTGTAAAAACGACCCCACACTCTGGAAGAAAAGCATTTGTGGGCTTAGAAGCAGAGCGAAGGATGTGGGCTGCTTCCATTAAATTTGCTAAATCCTCTCTGCTGCTGCCACTCAGCTTTTTACGGAGGCAGCGTGACAGCGTGGGACAGCCTTTCCCTCACTGTTAAAACAAGACTTTTTATCGACTTGTGAAAATTTTCCCAATCCCTCAACTCCAGTATTAAGGACAGGCGTCTATTCTGTAAAACGTCCTCGACCCAGTTCACGGGACTGATCAGAGAAACTATTACATGTGTTATGTATTAGTAAAACAGTATAAGAAGTGAAAACAGGTGTCATCCAGGCAAAGACGCTGCATCAATCATAGAAGGAGATCCTCTGACAAAGAGACATATTTCTAAAATCTTCCATTACATCTGAAAAAAGAGGCTCTGTATGTGGGAACCCGCTACACACCCCGAAGCTGTTTGAGAGGATATGATCCGATCTATCACAGAGAAACAGTTTAAAGCATGCACCACTGATTCCCCACCTAAAAAATCCATCTTCCGCTGCCTGCCTTGTGGAAAATGACCACAAGTAACAAATAAATACCTTGTTCATTTTTAAATTTTCTCCAAATCAGACGGAAATTGATTTTTCCCTTCTCTGGCTTTTTAATAAAAGTAAATATTTTCCACCAGAACCAGTGTTTTTTTTTTATCTTTTCAACAAACTAAAGTCCACGTCCAAGTTTTAGATGAAGACTAATGAGCAGCCGGGGGAGCAGAAGAGGGAGGCTCAGTCGATGACTGCGGCACTAGCCATAATCCTGGCTCCATTAGTCATAGTGAGGAAGGAGTACAGCCGTTGAAGCGCATTTGCAGAAGCAGAAACTGGGAGCATTGTAGCTCTTTGTGTAGAAAAGTGACATGTGGGAGGGAAAGAGCTTGAACTTTAAGCTGCACCCTCCTCCTTCCAGGCTCTTATGTCCTTCACCACATGAGAGGGGTTGAAGAAAAGGAGAAGAGCGATGCATTTATCATAACTGTGCAGCAAAAAACCTACTTGTGTTCAGTGTTTTGTCATCAAGAGACACTTTAAGAAAGCAGTGAATCCCAGATTTGTCAGAGGTTAGAACATTTCTTCCCCACTCCTCCGTCATGAGATCACCCATACTGGCAGGATAATTATCATTACGCCAAAGCTGTGCTTGACTTTAAACAGCTGGAATACGCTTTGCAGCTCTAACCTTGAGGTGCGTCGCTCGCTTGAAAGCCTTTTTGCAGAAGCTGCAGACGTAGCAGCGGTCCTTGCCATGAGCTTGCTTGCAGTGCCGTCGCAGCGCGTTTCCGTTCCCAAACAGCTGGTTGCAGTAAAAACACTGGTTCCTGTTATCGATGTCTGACTGGGAGTCTTTGCCAACTTTTTCCCCGTCTGCAGGATTCTAGAATCATAACACGATTACATGAGTCTTTATTTCATCACTGCTTTTCCTAATTTACCAAAATAATCAACTTATATTAGGAGGGTTTTTAAACTTTTCAAGTTAAAGTTAAAGCGTTTTTTTAATGTTTACTTATCTCATAATCTTTCATAAATCATACTAACTTTGATGCACATTCATGTGAATATAGATACTTTAAAGCTCAAACCTTCAGTCTTATCACATATTATTAGTAGGCAGTCATCTTGCCTGCAAAAAAAAAAGAAATACTTACAAAATATCCATTGTCTGACGCCCCATTTGATGATTGGGAATGATGGCTGACCAGTAAGACCTGCTGGCTGGAGTTGGCCGACTGTCCCGGCAGGCCAGGGTCATTTAGTACTGCAGGGAACGTCTGACCCTATAGGTATAAAAAGGTAGTCTGGTTAAGCAGCTTGACAAACAAAAGCTCAGTTGGTCTGCCTAGAAATATTTTCATCTAGTCACTAACCATTAAAGATGGCACACACTCACTCCAAAGATCTGAACTGGACCCGATTGCCATTTAATTTTGGGATCAGGTACCATACCAGGTAACACTGGATGACCTCAACTAAAATAACATTTCTGTTGGGTAATGTCTCCCACCCCATGCATGAAAGTGTTGCTGAACTGGAGAGCTCCTTAGGTGACAGACTGTTGCACCCTAAATGCACCAGGGAGCATTATCACAGATCCTTCCTCCCAGCAGCTGTGAGACTCTATAAGCATCACTGTTCCTAACAACCTCAATAAGTTGTTACATTCAATCTGATTTTGCTGTCTGTCTTAGTAAGTTAAATATCATGCTGCTGTAAAAATGTCCACAGCTGTAAATTGAGTATTTTTTCTGCAGATGTGCAGTATTTATATTGTAAAAACACTGTACAGTACAATATTTTATTGATTTATTTTCTTAACTTTGTCACTAATTGTGTTATTTTTATACATTTTTAAGGTGCACATTTGTGAAACCACTTTTGCTATAATCTTTTGCTGCTGTAACACCAAAATTCCCCCATTGTGGGACAATAAAGGGGTTTTCTATTCTATTCTATTCTATTCTGTTCTATGACCAGCTACTGAATGTCTTATTGTAACTCCCTATAATCCTTGCATTGAAGCTTGAAGTCAAAGCATCAATGCCTGCTCAGGTACACTTTAAATCTATCATTATAGGTATCTGTGTGATTTCCTGGGTTCATTTTGTTACAACAAAGGTAGAGAGCAGTCTGCTGCTCAGACGTCTCTCTTTGGTTAAGCTGCAGGTGTTTAGGGAGAAAATACAAGACGGATTAGTGGGTATGTGTTTTGTGGTAAAATCAGTCTGATTGCCAAAATAATCTGCTGCAATCTGCAGTAAGGAGCTTCTGGAGAAAAGAAGGCTACCCATATAAAAGAAAGTTGTTCTTTATCAGGGCATTTAGAAATTGGAAAAGTTGGCAGCCTTTTAGAAGACTTTACATGGAGGAAAAAATCACACAGACTTGAGTTATGATTAGCATTGCCAACTGAACTGAACCCTCTAACCCTGACTCTAATACTCCATTAGACAGTAATTGAGACAATCACTGCAGGAAGATCTGCATTTTAACAATCTTACTGTTGGAACCAGCAAACAAAAGAAATAAGACAGAGTTCCCCTGCTGCTACATAAAGTAATCGTTCAGAGTAGACCTGCAGTCCCTGGAAGCATCTTGTGTAGCAGGAGAGCTGAATTTTATGCCCACCTGCAACTCTGACAGCAGGAAGGAGGAAGATGTGTTCATGATCCTGACAGCGCCAAGGTGGTGGAAAAAATGGCAACTGGTGGAAACTTTTCTACGTTTATAAAGCTAAATGTGACAGCTAGCACTTTGCGGCAGCCTGCGGTCTCACAGACGTCCACAACGTCGACTATCAGTGTTTGGTGGAAGCGATCTGGTTATTTTTACCAGTACTTATAATAACAATCAACCACTAAGGCTGTTCTTTCATTCTGTCATGTGCTTTTTGGTGAGAAAAACAAAAAATAAAAACAATTTGCCGCCAGGCCTTCGTTACAGGGTGTGGACTGCCTACTTCAACAGGATGGAAGATTTTAGGAAAAGTTATTTCTGTCTGAAGCGAAGACAAAAGTAGGAACATCTGTCAGATTTAGGAACTGCCAAGAATGTGAATGAAAGTATAATGAATCACTGTATTGTCCATCTTTTAAACAGAAAAACAAACGATTACCTGAGATCACCACACAGTCTACAAATAATGAGTAAAATCAGTCAAACATTTGCATCAGCAGATGTTTATATTCAGATACCAATTAATCCTCAAAATTTACAAATTGGTACAAATTAAAGAAAAAAATTAATGTTCTTTAAATTCTGTTTCTTACTAATAAATGTGAGTGTTGCTCATGTTCACAGTACATGGGATTTTTAACCTGTGCACTGAGGTTTAAGGTGACACCATCCAGCATGGCCTGAGCATCCGTGAGGGTAAGGGTGACGCTTCCATCGCTCGCCACGCCTCCTGGTGACATCACTAAGCTCTTTGACGCAGCAGTATGAGACAAAGTGGTGCTGGGTGCCAGACTGGTTACTGGAAGTGGGAAACACAGAGAGAGAGACATGAGTTGTGTTTGCAAACAAGACAGCTGATGGATTTTTCACCGCAGTGATCAAAGGTACGACTCTACCAGCCGTGCACATCTAAACACTTTTTCTCTTCTGTCATGATGGGTTAAAAAGTTCCCCATAATATTGTTTATCATCTACTTTAAAGTACTACAAAATATCTCCATGCGTTTCCTAGTCTTCGTAATGCGAAAATATTGTCAAAAATCTGCATTAACGAAATGTATTAAAGAGAAAGGGACGGCTTCTTCACTCCAACAGAAAAGGAAAGCAGACGTTGCTATGGCAATCGAGTGACGCCCCATGTGCAGGGTTGTAGGTTAACAATTTACATGTGGCGGCACGTGTTTCCTCCGCCACCAGGCCGCTGTTAAACCTGTTAAAATGTTCCACTGGCCCTACCCACTACGTGGTTTGGGATGGCACTTAATGTAGCGGACCCTCTACGAGAATGTGCAAATTGAGGGTTACTTCTTGGGGTTATTGGCATACGCTGCGATTTTTTCAATCGTTGCACGCAGCTACAGCTCACACTGTACGACTAAATTGCAGAGTTTGTCGTACAGTCTGAGTTTACAGCTCACAATGTATGTTCTAACACTGTGTGACCCGACGCTTTGATGCGATCTACCTGCTCACAGTGTACGTCTAAAAACCACATTTGACTCAGCCTCCGCAGTGAGATGGCGCTACTCGGACTCGTCTGTCCGGAAGCCAAATCATTAGAAGAGGTATTTGAAGCTCACTAGAGAGAATCGAGTGTGCTGAAAGTCCTAAGAAGAAAAGGTGACAGCATATTTGAACATACATATGGCTGATCAAACGTGGCTACTACGGTTTGTCAATTTTACAGAAAGAACTCCATTTCACCTGCACCCTGCCTTGCTTCTGTGTTTTCATCTGAGAGGAAAAAGATGAAGAATCCTTGTTTGCGCATTTCCACTGAGCGATTTGCCCACAATGGCCAAATAAATTTCAAACACATTTTATTTTCTCCTGACCTCACGATTCCTGATCGAGAGGTGGTCGTGAGAGGGTGACCGCCCCTCGTTACGCCCTGTACGCTACATGACGCAGAACGTACGATCAGGCAGATCGGAAAATTCTCGCACGACTGGAAAGTCGGCCTGAAAAGGGCAAAAAACGTACGGGTTTGGGATTGGGCCGAAGACTGGTTACCTTGAAAAGTGGGCCCCTCAAGACATGGGATTTCCTGAAGAGTAGCCAATCACATACAAGTTATTTTGTCCAATGGGTACCGCCTTCAAAGTGACAAAATCTGGCAGGGGTGAGCATGTGTGTAATATATTGGGGCTCTGTGACGCTCTACATGTATAACACATTAACCATGTTGAGTTTATAAGCATCTATATGAAGTAAAGCGCCTTATAGGAGTATTTATTGCATAAATGGACTTTTGGCAGAATTTTGATGTCATACTGAAATGCTACAAACCAACCAGGCCTTTAGAGAACGGCTGCAATCATTTCAGGATTAAACTAGACAAATGGAGGGAATTGGTGGCAATGGATTGATAAAAGGGCTACGACGGCAAAGAGGCTATACTATACTGTTCAGATTTTTATTTGCATTAGCATTTGACGTCCTTGTTTTATTCCCCACCACTTCACTGATGTTTTTATTGACCGATCTGTCAATGAAATTCTTACAATGTGGTTGTAGTGTGAAAAGGTCTGGGGGGTGAATAGCTCTGAAAGGCTCTGGTTAAACTGGACCGTCACAGATAACAGCTTGTGCAACCAGAATGGTTTGGAAAAAAGAGAATTTGATCATGTTTTAAACATTTTCCAGCATGACGAACTGGAACATTTCATAATGTTCAGCCACATTCCAGGCCGAGTGCTGAACATACAGCAGCAGGGTATTATTATATAAATATATATATATTTTTTTCATTGACAGGAAAATATCTGCCTGTTCTGCCCAGTGAACAGTCTGCAGCCAGTCAATAATTTCAGGCCTCCTGGTGCTTTTCGACTATGAGCAAAAGGCGCTAAATCGTTCTAGTCAAAGAGGAGCTCCTGTCCCTTTTCACTTCACAGCCACTTGGATTGGAACTGAATAAATAAGCCGACCTAGAACCGGTTCCCTGTCACAGAGCACATGGAGCCCTATTTGCATACAGAGCGATAACAAGGTTTCCGTCTAATCAACACAAGACGAGATACTCTCAGTGTCTCTGAGAAGCAGGGGAAGCTTTTATTGCCACTCGAGCTGAGAGAGACAGAGGAGGGTAATTGATAAAGAGTGATATTTGCATCAAAAATTTGATTAGACCTTTAGGTGACAAGCAAATATCACAAACGTAAGGGAGCAATCTCTGACAATGTAAATCAATTCCCCTACAGCAAAGTCCAAAAACCTTTTTTACCTCCTATAACACTCAGGTCTGTGGAACCTGAACTGCTACTGCTTCATACTTTGCTTTAATTAAAAGCTCTGCTCTCACTGATACTCACGGAAAACTGGGATTATTTTAAATTTTATTCACGTAAAGTAAATGTCCAAAAATGATGTGTGTGCAAAAATACAGTTTTAAAAATCAATCCAAGAAACTCATCAACTCTATACAAGCCAGTCCTATTAATTATACAATGTTGTTACGTTTGGTTCATTAATGAATGGGCTTGTTTTGTAGAAATAAGATAATAAAATACAAGATAGACATATATACCCTTGGTGTGCTGCAGCATTAAAATTGCCTCAATTGTCTCTGTGGTATGGATGTGACAAATATATTAGTACAAATATAGAATAATGACAAAAAAAATGGAAAACAAGCAGTCTGCATCAAGTGACTGCAGCAATGAAGTGGTTAAAGGACCAATCAATGCAATGGCTGACTAACTTTGCAGCAATTCCTCCGACTGAGAGTCACATTATAAAGAAGACAAATTGTTTTTATTTTAAAGGCAAAAACCTCAAATTAAACCAGACTTAGTGAGAGACACCATCAGGTATAAACATGGCCAGAAATATTAAACAGATTTATCTGTGAGAACTTAACTAGCAGACTGCAAAAGCTGAAATATAATTAAGTCATTTTTCCTTGAAACGAGTGTGTATTCCATTGGATTAAAACCATTTATGTTTAAAATTAGAAGAAAAAAACAATTCCAGCATCTTATTTCAAATGCATAGTATCTAAATATCTTATTTTAAGGACAGAAACACTCCATAAAGTCCATTGGGTGTTTATTCCATTCCATCAACCTGAGGGCAAATACACTTATTATTAGGCTGAGTATTGGCATGCGTGTTGCGATACGATTCGTGTGAAGATACTTGGGCCACGATATAATATAACGATATTGCAATATCACTATATATTGTGATATTTTCCCCAGCTATCAAAATTAAATGTATAGATAAAAAAGCAAGTGCCGTAATAGTTCATTAGAAGATATTGCTCTGTAATGCTCTCTCTGTTTTTCACATATTAGCTTCATTTGGTCTGTTCCTGTTTGGCAGTGACTCCAATATCAGCTGTGGTGCTGCCATCAAGACCTTTGTTTATAGATCGGCCTGTTTTCCAGTGTAGTCTTGTTTCTCTGACTATGACTGGCTAGTTGTATCTTTGCTTCTTACTGTGTCTCCTTGAACCCCAGTCGGCCTCAGCAGATGGCTGCTCACACCTAGTCTGGTTCTGCTGGAGGTTTCTTCGTGTTAAAAGGGAGTTTTTCCTCTCCACTGTTGCTACAAGTATGCTTAGTGCCTTCGAGTCAATAAGGCAATGCAATCGACTGGTTTTCCTTAGATAGAAAACATTGAATAGATTTGACTGTAAGATCTGGTGAACTGTGAAGTGCCTTGAGATGAATGATGTGTTGTGAATTGGCGCAATATAAATAAACTGAATTGAATATTGATCTTTTACTCATTTTTGGATCCATGTTATTTGGGGTTTGAATGAGGCAACGTCTTCCACTGTGACTGCCTCAGCTACTGATACTGAGTGTGCAGGTGCTGCAGTGTGTAGTGTGCACAACCCATGTACGGTGGGCTTAGTCCTTGACGCGGCTGACCCGGGTTCGAATCCAACCTTTAGTCCTTTGCTGCATGTCTCTCCCTCTCTCTCATACCCCCTTTCCTGTCAGCCTACTGTCGAAAAGTGAGCCACAAGTGCCGTAAATACTCAAACTACATACATGTATATGCTGCACCTCATAGCAATAGGGCTCCACAGCGCTCTATAACAGAGTGGCAGTGCAGAGGTAGCCCATTTCCCCTCATTATTTTAGGTTAAAAAGTTTTGTTTTTTTTACAAAATCAATACTATAGACTGAAAGGTTGATATTATATCGGGCAGCCAAAAGTCATGATATATCGTCAAAACGATTTTTTTGCCAAACCCCTAATTATTATAGGAAGTTTTTAGTTCACCTTTTGCAGTGAAAGATCATCTGCTACTTTTTCCTCTCACAATATTTATATAATAAAAACACAACAGTCCCAAAAAGATTTTCCTTTTTGTTTCTCTAAAGGAGGTTTAAACCCATTATTTTTCCAGCAGACAACTGGAGCAGCTTTCAGGACAGCAGAGGTATCATTTAGCCAAATGACCAGCAGACCTTGTTGCTCCAGTGAACTGGACGCATCAAATGGAGCCATATTTTCCAAGACTGTGATTTTCCTCTTTTTTTGTTCACAAGTGGATAAAAAATGTAGCTTGTAAAACAAAACCAAAACAAAAAAACATCATAAAAGCAGCCTAGCAACCTTAAGGGTAATCTGCATACTTTGAGGCTTCTCCATAGAAACATAGAGGCAGCAAATCATTCACTGCAGATGCTTAAGCACCCGTTAAAAAGTGTGATGATTTTCCAGACGGTAGGAGCAGACTGGGATAACGCAGATAAGGTGGTAGAGATATTCCATAAAAACAAAGCAGCTGCTCAAAGAACATCTAACAAAGTTTGAAAGGTATTGGAAACTTTCAGGGAACAGGCTGCTGCTCGGGTCCGTACCTGCCATCCCAGTGCTGGCCGGGCTCTGAGGTAGAAGGTGGTCATTGGTGATGGTCATGGTCGCATTCGTGGGTTGGCTGGTGAGTGGAGATGCAAGCCTGAGGCTGCCGCTCATCTCTGCACCATTGCTATTGTTATGATGGGGAAGCAGATCTTGACCTGCAGAGATATTTGTTAAAAGCAGTAGAAAATATATGTGAGTGACTATAAAGAACCAAAGATGAAATAGAAAAAGAAAATGACCTTCAGAGTTGATTCTGTGATCTTTATATAAATGTGGTTTCTGCTTTTCATTTATTATTTTGTTTTCTCCTGTGACTAAAGTGTTTTTTTATCAAAGAAAGAAAGAATAAACTTAAAATATCCAATACGTGACGGAGTGCCTATACAAGCCTGCCAAGGCTAAAATCACAGCAGGATTCTGGCACAGAGATGCATCCAGCAAATGCTTCTGTATAGAGCCATTCATACACAGCTGCTTTACAAGTAAAACAGAGGAACAAATGAGGTTAGACACAAAGAAAAACACAAAACATGAGAAGAACATTGTAAGCAGAACAAAAGGCTCAGACAAAAGGACCTTCACGGTTAAGCTTTGGTAAACGTATTTAGTGCGGATCTTTCTCTACATCAATCAGATGCTGCCTCCTCTGGTTTGGTTCTGCACTGCAGTGATTGAAAAACAGCTGGAATCAGATCATGTCTGCTGATTTATGTTGGGTTTTCTACCAGCAGTGTTTCAGATGAGCTGAATACGCTATTGAGATCTTTCTGTTCACAATTACATTGTCATCTTCCAGACAATATGAAGAAATAAAGCATGCAGTTTTCCTATTATTTCAAGAGGAAGCCCTCTACGTTGTGATGTTTTGAAAAGGATAGAAAATGAGGTCTGAGTCTCTGAGGAGGTCTGGGTTTCTGCTTGATCTGCTCTTCAGCACCATTAAGTCAAGCTGAGTTTTAACTTTCCATCTTTGGGAGTGAATCATAACCTAGAGAAAAAAAAAAGTTAAAATTTAGTCATTCCAATCCTTAGAACTAATTAACAAACTGGATTTCCTCTAAAACCTTTTTAATTCCCAACAGGAATTAGTTCCCTGGGAAGAAGCATGAGGATAAAACAAAAGAAAACGGTGAAAAAAAGACAAAGATCCTTTCTTAAAGTCTTAGCTTGAAGGATTAGAATCACATTACAATAAATCAGGAGGCTGAAAAGGAGAAGCTCGACGTTGCTAATGGCATATGAATCATCAGATGATGATCTATCTCCTCAAACGGGAGAATAGAGACCTGGAACTCAAGCTTTCACTACACTATAGGCATTAGGGATGTACCTCCAGCTAAAACGGAGTCTTCAATAATCTGGGATTGCTGAAGGGAAAAAAATGCTCCATCAGTTATTTTTCATTCAATTCAGGGAGGAAGGATCCTTTTAAAGACCAGGTTTCATTCAGTGTCTATCACTGCCCAGCTGTATGTCTGTCTCAGTGGGGAAATCAGTGAAGAAACAGGAACTTTTGTTTGCTTTTTATTGCTGTCTGCTGCAGACTTCTGAGCTCGTAGGAAGACAGTGAACTTAGTAAAGTTGTGGCAAACTCTGCTTACCTGAAATGGTGAGTGTGATCTCCTGAGGGTTTCCTGGTGCAGCGCCGGATCCGGCTGCAGAGGCCTGAGCCTGGACCTGAGCCAGAGCCTGGGTAAGGCTGGAGTTGTTGATGGTCAGAGTTATCTCCTGGCTGCCGCTACTTCCTGCCACTAGCCCTGCGCCGCTAATGACCTGGTTAAGGTCCTGGGGGCCTACAAGCACATTCAAGCACAGATTATTACTCGACTCTAAAAAAGCAGAGTTTTCTGGATGCTTGATCATTTATTTGTTGTTACCTGTAACATCCTGCTCTGGCAGGCCGGCTATGGAGACCTGTGGGGAGGAGATGCTGGACGGCTGCATGGCCAGGCTGGTCAGAGGATGGATGACGACGTTGGCGGAGACGGACGGGTCGTTTACGGACATGAGCTGGCTGCCGGAGTGAGAGACCAGGCCGGTGTCCACGCTCAGGGGCTGGGAGAGCAGGCCGCCCTGCTGGAGGGTCTGCTGGAGGAGGGCAGGGTCGATCTGCAAGGGAACAACCGCCTCAGGTAAGAGTAGCAGAGAAAATATCGAAGCAGGCGCGTGCTTTTTTTATTTATTTATTTTTTCAATAACAGCAACCTCTGCAGCTAAAGTAGTTCTGGATTTGGCACTTTTTTAAACTAAGAAACATTGGATTTTACAAAGATTTAATTCTTTCTCAATAATTCAAATGTATGTTTTTTTTGTGCCTTTATAGGCCAGAAAAAAACAATATTCACTTTTGGATAGCCATTTATAGGACAGAACTACAATAACAGTGCCTCACCAGGCATTCATTACCCCCAGAACCTTGTTGGTTTTAAAAACTAACACTCCAAATTATCTGCATGGTGAAGCACATAGGGGGCAGCACCATGCTGTGGAGATACTTTTCTTCATCAGGGACGACTAAGCTGGTCAGAGATGGATGGAGTCAACGACTGGCATAAAAACCAATTAGAAGGCTTCAAGCTGTGCTGAACGTTCAGGCTAGGGCTGCAACTAATGATTATTTTGCTGATCTGTTAATCTGTTGATTCATGTTTCATTTAATAATCTGAGAGAAAAAGTTCCTTAATACAGATTAAACTGTATTCTGGATAGAGCAGATGGACAGATTAAAGGAATAGTACACCCAAAACATGATTAGCCTTCATTTTCTACTCACCCCCATGCTGAACAACACTCTCGAGTACTTTTTTGATTCTGATTTGCTTCTTGCTGTCTGCTGACATTCAAATAATGGAGGTCTATGGCGCCCGAGGCAGAAAGGACCATAAAAGTCCACAAAAATCGTGTCAATATTCCTCCACACTGCTCGTCCAATGTATTCCAAGTGTCCTGAGTGGGTAGCGTGCATTATTTACTCGAAACGAAGTCATTTAGAATGTTTTTAGAGCATAAACAGTAGTGTATAGGATTTCCTAAAAGCGTGTTCACGAGTCAACGGAAACCTCGGCAGACCAAACCAGATGAAAGTGCGCATTCAGCGTCTGCTCTGCAGATAATGCAAGCGTAGAAGAAGAAATGTGCTGTTTACCTGTGCAAAGAAAGAAACAACGAGAGAAAAATGTCTGAGGACTTCAGTGTTGAGGAAGAGCATGAGTTCTTTGCCCAGCTGAATGCGCACTTTCATCTGGTTTGGTCTGCCGCGGTGTCCGTAGGCTCGTGAACTCGCAGGCGCGCGCTTTTAGGAAATCCTATACACTACTGTTTATGCTCTAAAAACATTCTAAATGACTTCGTTTCGAGTAAATTATGGACGCTACCCACTCAGGACACTTGGAATACATTGGACGAGCAGTATGGAGGAATATTGACACGTTTTTGTGGACTTTTATGGACCTTTCTGCCTCGGGCGCCATAGACCTCCATTATTTGAATGTCAGCAGACAGCAAGAAGCCTCCCAGATCTCCAGATGCATTTGAGATATCAAAAAAGTACTCCAGAGTGTTGTTCAGCATGGGGGTGAGTAGAAAATGAAGGCTAATCATGTTTTGGGTGTACTATTCCTTTAACTTTGTTTTTATCTTGAATTTTTTATCTTGAATGCAAAATACGACATGTTTTTTTGACATTCTTGTACAATTATTGCTCTTAAATGGTTGCTCTATCAGCTAAAGGCTTTTTTAAGAGTCTCTATAATCCAGTTAACGATTAATCGATTACTAAATTAGTTGACGACTATTTCAATAATCGATTAATCACAATAAATAGTTTTAGCCGCAATTCAGGCCAAATCCATTCTAAAGTCTAAAAGCTAAACATTAATATTCATGGAATGGCAATCTCCTCCTAGTATGCACTATTTTGGGGTTGTGAACCAGGAAATGTCAAAAAGTAAAAAAAAAAAAAAAAACAATCCACTGGTCTTTGTTTTCCAAGTTTGATTGTTTTTTAACTTTTCAGAATGACTATGACCTGGATGACTGAGAATTTTCACCAGCATAAACCTGGTAAAGGCAAAAATGAAAAGGTTTGCAGCTTGAGATGCTCGGTTCAGTGTCACTTAATATGAAGACATGACAAACCTTCCAGACCACTGTTTAGAATAATAAATAATTAACATTATGTATTGTCTTCCTTAACAACATTAATTCATTCAAGTAAAATACACTCTCCTTTAAAAAACAACCTAACATTCAGAAATGAATGAGTTCAAGGAAATATCGACATTTTAAAGTGCCATCTTTTTCATGAGGCATGTTTCAAAGGTGTTTTTTTTTTTTTTTTTTTTTTTTTTTTACCAAGGAACAAGGTGCACATAAAAAATAAAACCAAGTACCTCTATTATCATTCTTATGTTTTCTTTCCTTTGGCATATTTTCTTTTTTTAGGGTTAAATTAGTGATAAACAAGCATCACAGCTGTGGATTTTCACACCAGTTAAAATCAGACAGCTATGTTCCTCATGTGCACAGCCTTAAACGTGTGTAATTTCTGCTAAAAATGAGTCACACCAAATGGCCCTTTTTGCCATTTAAATTCTAAGTGAAGAAGCGGCGAAGATTACGTCAATGACAACGTTGTAAACTGGAGCCCTTTTTGTCTCCGGCGTGTGAGAGGAAGGACAGGAGGAGGTTGTGATGCATCAAGCCACATTAAGGCTCCAAAGGGTGAAATGCTTCTTAAAAGGATCAATAATAATAAAAACAGCATCCTTACATCCATAACTCCTAATATTTGACAGAGATGGTTAATACTCTTGGAAAAAGAAAGCAAAGGAACGGAGAGGATCCTAAAAGCAGAGAAAGATTTGGAAAGCTTAAAGGCAAACTGTATCCATCCATCATTACATACTGTATAGAGCATAAAAAAGATGAATGTGTTTTAATGCAGATGTTTGATTATTTTTATCTCTTTAAAAAACAAAAACAAGAGGATGCATTAAAATGATATTTGAATATCCATGATTTAAGCATCTGTTTCTTGCTTCAATAATAAGTCTTGAATTGGGCTTTATATAAATTGTTGAGGCCTGACAAAACAAGTCCAAGACATAAAGATCCAAGACTGAACCCAGGCCTGGAAAAAAAAATAAAAACAACAACAACAAAAAAAAAGGTTTAGACCTCCATCCATCCCTGGTGTGTGACATAAGCCCCATTTAAGCTACCCTCTGAAAACTGATCTGTGCCGAGTTCGGACCAAGCTTGGCTCAGTTATCCGTGCTGAGCTTGGTTTCTTATGACCATTTGCGCACCTCGCTAGCATGGTTCCTCCCCTAGTGAGTATCTATTGTACCACTGCTCTGTAGAGGGAATCAACATGGCGGCACCTGTAACATTCAACAAGTTTGTGGAGAGTCAGGTGAAGAAGGCAGCTTTTGGTGAATTCTTTTGGAAAGTGAATATGACAAACGGTAGTCTAATCAGGGCTTACAGATGCAGGAAACAACGACAGACGTTGAGGTTCATCACACTGCTAAGCAAATCCTCACTGGAAATCATGTGGCACGGTAGGGAAGCTAGGATTTTTATGAATGTCGTCATGAAATTTCATGATTAGGGAGGCTGACTGTAAGGAGATGACACGGTCTACTCATGCGCTCTTTGTTGTCTGAGAACTGAGCCTGAGCTGAACCACGTTGAGCCCTACTGATGAACTAGTACCAGTTTAGCGCGGTTCGGTTGTGTCTGGCTCGGTCTGGTTCAGTTGAGCGTGTCGTTTACACTCAACAGTAATCTCAGTTGCCGTGCATGGACCGATATCGGCACGGTTTCAAAAGGGTAGTGTATATAGGGTTATAGATCAGGGGTGTCCAGACCTGTTGAAACGTGAGCCACAGTCATGTAAAAAAGGATTTAAACAAATTATTTTAAAACAAAACTACAAAGAAAAGTGAATTTTGAGATTTTTACAGCTTAAAAATAAATGATCCTGACCTTTTTTTGCTAAATAAAGGGATGAGTAAATCCTTGATAAAATCAATCTTCATTAGCAAGGGCAATATTTGGGTCACTCTTCTGAGACATTGGTTGCGTTTTGACAAGTTTAATAAACTAAATAGGAGCTGATTTCAGTAAAACAAAGACTTTTTAGAATAAGTCACTTAGTAGGTGTGGTCTTATTTAGAATAAAACAAAACAAACAGGAAGTGGGGAGATTAGAGGGTAAAGACCCTGTGTTGTACATGACATGTTCCCCTTTAAGATTTTAAATTGTCTTCAATAATATTGCCAAAAATCATATTTAATTAAAACAGAACTGAGTTACCAGGATAACTTTCTGATATTTTTTAATTAATTACATTACACCTGTGAGGTTTTCTCTTCCATTATCTGGTTTAAAAGATTTTCCTCTTTTTTTTTTTTAAACAAATGATATCGAGGCATTTCAATTATACCTAAGAAATTTGATTCAGAGTCTTAATCTGAGTAGAAAGGATTTTTCCAGCTCAGGCACCTTTAACCGACTGAACAGATTATGTTTATGGGAAGTTTTGCATCTTGTTCCATTCAGTGTTCCTGTTTATTAGTTTTCTTAAGGACACAGAACACCTTTCTACGCAGGAATGACCAAGCTGACAAACAGAAAAAATGTTTTGGTAAAGAACCTGCTGCTCAGCATTGTTAGTTGCCTGACTGAGCTCCATGGGAAAACCCCAAGTTTCATAGGGAGACCATGATCACCTGTAGTGTGATGTTGCTGGTATCGAGGCCAGAGATCTGCAGGTTGGGGCACACCAGGCTGGCCGGGGTCAGCTGGAGGTGGATACCATCCAGCGTTGTAAGGCCATCAGGGAGAGACACAGTAAGGTCACCTGCAGCTGAGACACAGAGAGATACAGCTTCAAAAGGTGGAATGAAGCCAATATCTGCTTAAGAAAAATCTTCTAAGGTTCTGATAACATTTCTGAAAATCCCTCAGGAAAGCTTTGCTTTATTTCCACGCACTGAGTGCCCAACCCAGAGGCTGTAAAAGCCTGCAGCATAAAACCTCAAGCCTCTCTTTATATAGAAGAGCTTTTGCTCAGTCAGAAACACATTCAAGCCAAGGATAGAGGTTAAAGAGGACACTGTGACTTCTGGATGATATTAAGGTAGATGTTAGCTGGAAACATTCAAAAACTGTGCTTGGACTTTGCAAGGTAAACTAAACAGATAGCGCCCAGTGATATAACAGCTGCATCATAACCTAACCAACTGTGATTTAAATCATACGAGGAACAGAGCAGGGCTGCACAGTGGTGCAGTCGTGCTGCCATGCAGCTAGAAGGCTAGAAGAATAGAATAGAATAGAATAGAATTCAACGGTATTGTCATTACACTGTCACAAGTACAAAGCAACGCAATTCACGCTCTGCATTTAGACACTTTAAGCCCCCGTTAACATCCTCCTCTTTCAACTTTAGTACCAGCAGAGGGGAAAAGAGTATAATAATAAAAAAAAATATATAAAAAAAGTTGAACTTTATTGATCTCACATTGGAGCAATTTATCTTTGCATTTAACCCATCCCCTTGGGGAGCAGTGGGCTGCCATTGTGCGATCCCCGGGGAGCAGTGTGAGGGTCTTGCTCAGAGAGCCAGGGTGGAGGCCGTGAGGATCGAACCAGCTACTTGAGACCTTACACTCCCCCAGAACCCAGAACCTGCCCCGTTAGAAGGTTCTGGGTCTGAATCATGGCCTGGAGTCTTTCTGCTTGTTCTCCCCATGCATGTGTGGGTTCTCTCCGAGTACCCCAGCTTCCTTCCACAGTCCAAAAACATGATTGTTAGGTTAATTGGATTCTCTAAATTCTCCTTAGGTCTGTGTGTGTGTGTGCATGGTTGTGCGTCTCTGCTTGTCTCTGTGTTGCCCTGCGACAGCCCATAGACTGCCAGAGATAGGCATTGGCCCTACTGCGACCCTGACAAGGACTAAGCGGGAGAAAAAGGAAAGGAGTAACGGAGCAAAACCTTTAGCCAACAGAAAGATGATGCAGGATTTTAGCTTCACACAGAGTCTTTATAAAGAGCCAGATATCACCCATCATCTATGATAGAGGATAACAACACTGTTTACTGATTTAATAAGATGCACTAAACTGGAGTGGATAAAATCAACTTTCCTTTACCCCATATTGTTTATAAGGTGCATTCATTGTTCAATTAACTTCCACAACACCCACCTGACATAGAGGCAGGCAGGATAGCCTGACTCACAAGGCCCGACTGCAGCAGGTTCTGGTCAAACTGCCCAGTCAAAACCTGATTGGCTGGGAGGTAAATGTTGGGATCAGAGCTGGATGTCTGTAGCAGACCCACAGGTTGAAGTGGTTCCGTAGTGGTTGGTTGCTGGCCCTGACTGGAGGCCCCATTCTGGCCAGTGGCCGAGTCCTGACCGTGTCTTGGATGACCCATAGAGGTAGAGGAGCGCTTGCCTTTGCGGCTGTCGCCGTTTGAGCGAAAGTGACACTGGATGTGGGTTTTACGGTGGCCCGAGGTTCTGAAGCGAAGCTCGCAGAAGGGGCATTTGAAAGGCTTGGAGCCGGTGTGGAGGCGCATGTGGACCTTCAGGCTGCCCTTTGTGGAGAAGGAGGTGTTGCACATATGACAACTGAACAGTTTCTGACCTGCAAACATAAAACAACTGATCACTGCGCCATCAAGACACTATAAACAAAAAACATAATTTCTTTTTTTCCTAATGTTATTTTCCAGTAGTTTCAAAGAGTTATTGTGTTCTAAATTATTAAAACAACCTTCTACAGATGCAGACAGTACGTACTGCTTTTGGACATTGAAGAATTTCTGCCTTTGTTCTTCACCTCATAGCAAATCTTTGTAAACTACTTCAAACACACAAAGCCTTCGATAAACACAAACATCCACCTTTTTATTGATCCAGAAATACAGCTAAGACTCATGTTGGAGTGAGACACAGTGCTAGAAATAAAGGTCCAGCTCTAAGGAAACATCACTGTAACAGCCTTATCCATAAACAAACCTTTAGTGGATCGTGGAGCTACTCTGTAGTATTAATATGCTTTCCGTGAGTTTCACAGAGAAATTGTTAGTGATCTGAAACAGCAAATCATAAAATGATCATAAACTAAAAATCTTTTTACAACCAGGAGGATGTCAATTACTGTAAAGGGTAAGTCTTATCTGAGTGAGGAAGACTGAAAGTCAGTCATTCTAAACCTGTTTGCAAATGAGGTAAGAGGAAACACAGATGATGTAAAAAGCCTCTAGAGAGGAAACTATATTATCTATAGCAGGTCAACTGTGCATTACAGCTAAATGGACAGGAAGTTGGAATGTAGCAGATAGCAGGATGTTTGACCTACCAAAGCCAAGAGTCAAACTCTATTTTAGGAGCTGGAAGCAATCTGTTAAAAATCTTAGATGTTTCAGTGTTTTATAAGAAAGGACAAACATAGGGTTATAAAGACAGTTTCAAATGCTAACTCTGCCTTTAGTTTGTCCTTTCTTATAAAACACTGAAACAAAACTGATAAATCCAGATCTCTTGCTCTGACACACAGAGTGTTATTTCCTCCAGTATAGAAATGGTTTAAATAAATAATGATCGAACAGTTGCAAGATGAAGTTTTAGCCTGCCATCGACATCTTCAATGAGAGATGAGTTAAAGTTGGGCCTGTTTCCTCACTGTCGTCTTTCTCTCCAATACCTCTCTCCCACTGGCTGAAACACCTGTTTAAACCTGACCTTTGTTGGCAGTGGGAACACCTCACTGACCTGTCATGACCCATGCCAAACAACTCGGAAAGCAACCTGGGTTAAAAATCACCGTCAGACAACCTTGGCTCCGATCGGCATACAGTGGGAACATCAGACCCGGGTCGACCCGTTAAATGTACGGGATTCCATTAAACGCATTGTACAAAAGTCAACACACCTTGACACCTGCATCTGATCTAACAAGTAAAAACAACTCTGCTGATGTTTGATAAACATGGAGCAGCACTGCTGAGAGCGATTTGGAAGAAAAAAAGATTGAAACAATAAAACACACAAACTATGCCCTTAATCCCGTCCATGTTGCTCTCCATTGTTTACTTTCCTGATTTCTATCACACTGCTAACATCATCGGTGCTAACCCAGTGTAATGCCGTCATCAGACACGCAGCAGCTCGGGAAAGAGGGCACGCAGCTTGCCAGCTAGGGGTCAGACACCGTTTTTAAGTCAATGGTAAGGGAGCCAAATGCCGATTATTAGCGTGTCGACCAATGTTTGAAAAATCCATGTTACCCGCTAATTTCAGTGAGAAAGAGGCTCCAGACATACAGTAGCTCTGGGCACAGCTTTTAATGTGTCCATCCTTTTAATCTGGATAGCGGCTCAGAGCTCATCTGCTTTACTATTTCTTTCCTCCACAGAGCCCCATATGGAGCTAGTTTACGCTACCTTCTCTAACATAGAAAGTTTTTCTTTATCAGTGCTTTCAAGTTCCTTTTGTCTCTCCACTTCCGTCTTCCTGAGCCCCAGTCAGCCTCAGCAGTCTGCTGAAGGGTTTCTCTCTGTTAAAACATAGACTTTTTTCTCTCCGCTGTCACTGCATGCTTGGTGTGAGGGATTGCTGCAAAGTCAGCAACACAACACGAGCCAATGACTACTGTCGCTGCATTCTCACCCAGGAGGAGCAAACTCTGCGAAGACAATGACTCATGCCACCACCTTGTTTCCTTTGATAGAAAAAGCAACTAATCTGACTGGAAGATTGACTAAATTGACTCTGTAGTGCCTTGAGGCACTCAATTTAAAAGGAATCAACACATAAGTGCTTCTGAAGAATTCTGCATACTAGAGAACATACTGGATTTAGAAAATGCACATATTAAAAACTGCGCTACAGTTCATTTCATATTTCCTATTTTTAAACAACCTTGTTGAAAAATATTCTGACAATGTCTAATTTGATACACAACTAGATTCAATTGAGTAACAAAAAGAAAAGTTATGAGTTATAATCAATCATGTGAAGAACTCAGTAAGAGATCCTAAATATTAGAAATGCTGATTTATTTCTACAGACACCAATAACTAGGAAGATTTTACTGTATTTTTAGACTTTTAGCTGTATAAACTTTGCTGAATCTGTGAAATTATATTTTCACTAAGATATTCTACTGACAAGAAAGTTTAATCTAATTTTATCTTCAAGCAATAAAAAAAACAAAGTTTTTTTTTTTTTTTTTTTGCATTATTTTGGCAAAAAAAAAAAAAACTGTTGAGCTTCTCTTCTAATGTTGTCTGATAAATTCTATTGCACTGTTCTTCAGCTGTTTGCTAGGCGTCCAGCAGCAACCAGAGGAGTACATTAGCTTGACGGCCATTTTACCTGTATGTGTTTTAACATGGCAGTCCAGGGTTGACTTCACCGTAAAACTCTTCCCGCATTCGTCACACTTGTATGGTTTTTCACCCGTATGGATCCTGATGTGCCTGAACATCAAACGGATTCAAACGGAGAATAAATCAAGGGAAAATGTGGTTTGGCTGTGCAAGAAACAGATGAACAAATAATTTAATAAAAAAACATAGAAAACTGAGTCAGCGGATCAAATTAAATGCTTTATATAAAAAAAAGAAAAGACAAAACAGCCTGAGGTCAGTTTTGATCAAAGAATTCGGGATTTGACAAAGCATAAAAGAGAAACGGAACATTTTTCTTTTTTTAGAGCCAGTTTGCGATAAGGAGAAAATCTGGCATTAAGGATTATTTATATACTTCTGAAGTTGTTCATACACATTAGAATTAGAAGAGCAGCTTGTCTCATCAAAGGAAGTTAAAAAGGCTCTAAAACAACAGCCGTATGTCTGCACCTTTCCAAAATATAACAATATGCACGCCTGCTGTTTCTGTCCAACATAAAAGCTTCATGTAAAGCTCTCATCCCTGCAACCAAATCCTTCATCACACAATTCTCTCTGCTCCTAATCAGCCGTAGATTAATATTCCTGTTGCTGGTAAATAACTTACTTAACACTAATGAATTATTCACTCAGGCATAAGAAGAACATCCATAATTTTACTCTAAGGTTGTTTAGTTTTTTCTACAACAAAAAATAGCAACTTCTCAAAGAAGCCATTTAATATGAAATAATTAGTTAACAGCCTCCTACATAGACTTTGTATCACTGTACTTCTGTTCAGTTCTAGCCGATTATTCCAAAACAATAAGATGATAATCTGTGTGTCTTTTGTCACTGGACTGAAACCAAGGCTAAAGGCTGGTTTATGCTCAGAAACTAGGTCGTCTGTGTGTGTGTCGCAGTTAACACACATATGCCCCCCCCCCCCCCCCCCTTATGTAGACACTCTGGTGTACCTCTCCAAAATTGCAGGTGACGCAGACAGTGCAGCAGATAGTGCCACAGGGAGGAGAGAAAGGGGGCCTCTGATTGGTCAATTCTACATCCACTCTACACTATGTGTATTTCCTGTTTGGTACCTAATGGCAGAAACTCTGTCCATAGTGCCGTCCACAATGCCTGACACACCTCGGACACCATCCCAGACACTGTACAGGACGCTAGTTTGTTGCTCTGTGCGACGGTCTGTTGGTTTGCACCCGAAGCCAAAACATGCAGCGCCACGGCCAGTCTATCGGAACCACTCAAGGGTTGAATTGTGTGTTGTCCGGCGTTGGATGAGGGGTTGTAGACGGCAAACAAGGTCGTCAAAACGACACACGGACACCCACAATCCTAGCTAGTTTGTGAATGTCCCTCTTCTGTTGTGGCGTGGAATAGCATAGCGCAGACCACACTTTAAAAATGGGCATAAGTCAACAAGATCTGCGTCAAAACAAACCTGCGACAAGCTCACTGTGACACAATGCTACAGGAGGATACACATCAGTTTGTGACTAAGACAGGGTTATAGTTAATTTCTAAAGCCCATGACGCCTTAGATTCTTTATCAGTTCCTTAAAATGTTGCTTCATCTATTTCTAAATTATTTTTAAAAATAGGTGAAGCAACATCATCCAATTAATGAAGTGCAGAAGTCTCTTCTACAGCACGACAAACACATCATACTGACACCTCCATACCAGACAGCTGCTGCTGCAATACCTGTTTATCTCTTTAGTTTATCTCTGTTTATTCCTTTAGTTTATCCCTTTAGTTTAGTCTATTTTTCATACAAAACTAAAAGGATAAAAGCAAATCTGACATCTCGAGCATGCGTATCGACTATGGGTATGCTGATCTGACAGAACACCACGGATCTTCAATCCTTCAAAAGTAACTGTTAACTATTACCATCTGTTCTGGGGTTGATCGACACATTTGGCACCAAAACAAGCTCACCTCTGAGAAACAGAACCTGCTTTCCCTCAAAGTAACGTATAGGCTGCATGCTCTAATCAGTTCTTATACTTTGCTCATAATTCAAGCATCCTAAAATAATGGTGTCCAAGCACACAGACTTGTGCCGGTCTACTTTTAGCTCCCTATCTTGACTGGTTTCACATAATGTTTCTATGGTGTCTCGAATGGAGAAGGTGTGCTTGAGGAGTTTCTCTGTTTAATTCAAGGACAACTGCAGTAGAGTGGCTTTAATGGCAGAAGGAAGTGAACCCAGACCTTACCAGTGAGACATAAGGGTCACAACCAGTCAGCTCAACTTCAGCTGACAAAAGCTCAAAGGCATCAGAACAAGAGTTTGCACATAAATGGAGGTGGGGCCTTTACCTGACAAGGTCGCTGGGCTTCTTGAAGCTCTTTGGGCAGAAACTGCAGCAGTTGGCAAACTTGGGTTCTGTTTCCAGCTCCACAGCTTTGTCCTTGATCTCACTGATGCGATCCCTCTCAGCGGCCGACTGGGCGAGGATTCGCTCCGACACCGACGCCTCCTCTCCCGGGTCCTTCGCCAGCTCGGCTGCCTGCTCCTCTGTGAAGGTGATGATTTCCAGGCTCCTCCTCTTAGATGTTTTCTGTTCTCCATCTTCATCATCATCTTCCCTGTCTCTACATTCAAGTTCTATAACTGGAAGAGACGGGAGCTGTCAGTACAACCAGAAGTTTCTACATTGCTTCCTTTTTTTTCAGTCTTTCAAAGTTTACTTTGGTTTCTTTTCTAAATTCTTCAGAGCAGAACAGCTCACAATCAGAAAGATTAGGGGGGATTAGGGGAGATAGAGTGTAGCATTAATATGAAGCTCTGCAATTATGTGAACTGAAGTTAAATGAGGGAAAAAAACTGAAAACAAACAAGGAAAAAACACGCAGAGAGAGTAAATGAAAACTCTCTATGGTTTATGGACTGGGCACTGAGCAGCGCCTCCCTGGGTGGAACTCAGTTTGGCAGCCCGCTGCTCCCTAAGGGAGGCAGCAAAAAACAAAGTACTGTGGGACTCTAAAAGGATATTTTCTTCCCTTTCCTTCAGATGAGAAAACCAAACAAAGGGGTTAAAAGTAACCATAGTGACGTCTACAATACTAAGCTTTTTAGAGCTACATGTACATTTACGCTACATATTTTACTGTTTATTATTCAATTCATGGTTTCCGTAACAACAATTGCAAACGTCATCTGGCGTTCGTCACTGTATCACTTGTTCGTGATTCAAACAAGGAATTCAATGTATTTTATTTGCATGTTATGTAAGAAACAATTAACATGGGATATAATTATGAAGAGTAGGGCTGAAACAATTAATTGATTACTGGAAAAATCATAAACTAATTTATTGATGATTTGTATTGAGACTAAAAAATGCCTTTAGCTGACAGAGCGACCCACTTAGAGCAGTAACTATCCAAAAATTGTAAAAAAAAAAAAAAAAAAAAAAAAAAAATATATATATATATATATATATATATATATATATATATATATATATATATATATATATATATATATATATATATATATATATATATATATATATATATATAAGGAACCTTTTCTATCTGATTATTAATTGATTAATCAAGCAAATAATATACAGATTGATCAATAAGCAAAATAATAGCTATTTGCAGCCTTAATGAAGGTAAAAAAGGTCAGTGAGAAAAATCTTAAAAGTAAGCAAGTCATTCATATTTTTTGGAAGGCTACAAAATTATTTTCCATTTCTGCAATACAAGCGGTACATATTGAGAAATTGAAACTCAGTGATTATCGGTCCAACAACAACACATGTGGAAACTAAAAAGTTAAAAACAGAGCAACCAGTCTTAATTGTGGACATTATTTAAAGATAAAAAATATAGGGGATACACTGCTATGTGCAAAAAAGTGGAACACCTAAACATGAACTTATAAATATAAAAGTACTTAAACTACAGTTGGCTGAAACAGTGGGTGCAAATTGTTAACTGATCATGCATAAAAGGGAGTATGTCAATATCTTGATTCAGAAACCACCAACACTGACTAATCAATCCAACAAACCAACATCCTTTGGTTGAAACAAAGCAACAGGCTGTGTGAGTTGGCTTCTTCTCCTGGGAGAAGGTCAACCTCCATGCCAGCCTCGAGCCTCCACCAGGTTTTCGTCTCTGTTTTTCTACCCAGCCCGTCTTAGCCTAAAGCATGACGCAGCCGCTGCCATGTGTCACCATTGGGATGATCTGTTTAGAGTATAGTTCAGTGTTTTGCTGTTATGTTATATAGTCTCATCCTGCTTTAAACTTCACCACAGCTCTGTTAATGATGCGTCTTCCATCTTGCCTGGGCTCCATTGCGCTGCTTTTAAATGATGTCTTCTAATAACATCTGAAAGCTTCACAGAGCAGCTGATTTAAAGCTATTTAAATGGATTTAGATCCTATTTAAAAGGTATCTTAATAGAACGGGTAGAACACAAACGCCACACTTAAAGGAATAGTACACCCAAAACATGATTAGCCTTCATTTTCTACTCACTCCCATGCTGAACAACACTCTGGAGTACTTTTTTGATATCTCAAATGCATCTGGAGATCTGGGAGGCTTCTTGCTGTCTGCTGACATTCAAATAATGGAGGTCTATGGCGCCCGAGGCAGAAAGGTCCATAAAAGTCCACAAAAAACGTGTCAATATTCCTCCATACTGCTCGTCCAATGTATTCCAAGTGTCCTGAGTGGGTAGCATCCAGAATTTACTCGAAACGAAGTCATTTAGAATGTTTTTAGAGCATAAACAATAGTGTATAGGATTTCCTGAAAGCGCGCACCTGCGCGATCACGGCGCTACGGAAGCCGGCAGACCAAACCAGATGAAAGTGCGCATTCAGCGTCTGCTCTGCCAATAATGCAAGCGTAGAAGAAGAAATGCGCTGTTTACCTGTGCAAAGAAAGAAACAACGAAAGAAAAATGTCTGAGGACTTCAGTGTTGAGGAAGAGCATGAGTTCTTTGCCGAGCTGAATGCGCTGGTTTGGTCTGCCGGCTTCCGTAGCGTCGTGATCATCACCTTCACAGAGGAGTGGACTTTTATGGACCTTTCTGCCTCGGGCGCTGGGCACCTCCATTATTTGAATGTCAGCAGACAGCAAGAAGCCTCCCAGATCTCCAGATGCATTTGAGATATCAAAAAAGTACTCCAGAGTGTTGTTCAGCATGGGGGTGAGTAGAAAATGAAGGCTAATCATGTTTTGGGTGTACTATTCCTTTAAAATATATTTTCCTTCCATAGCTTTATGTTTCTCCATTACATCTAATCCTTCATAGAAATACACTAGAGTATAGTAAAAACTAAAAATGTGATTGAAATGACAATATTTTTATGGAAAATGAATTTAAATAAATGTATAGAGGAGGACTGCGAATATAAAAAGCATATCGAGTGTTTAAAAAAAAACAAACATGGCACCGACATCCTTACCTTTTACTTCCACGCCATGCTCCTTCTTCGCATGCCTTTTACAAAGCAGAGTGGTTCTAAAGGTCTCGTTACAGATGGAGCATTTGAAGGACTTGTTGTGGATAAATGCATGGCGACTGAGGCTACCACTAGTGGTGAAAGATGCATCACAAACATCACATTTAAATGGTTTCACTCCTGCAAGGGAGAGAAAAATAATCAGCAGTGTATGTAAAACTGTTAAATAGATATAGATCATATGTAATTGTGGCATTCCAAAAGATATGCTGTATATGAATTTGATCTCCGGTGTGATGCTGCTAATAATGGTCCCAATAATTGTTTTCGGAAGACTCAGATCTGTTTGGTGCTGGAACTATTCCCCAAGATCTACGTAAAGGAAGCTCACCTGTGTGTGTGTTTTTATGGGACCTCAGCACTCCTGCCGAAACAAAACCTCGTCCGCAGAGGTCACAGCTGTACGGTTTCTCGCCAGTGTGGGATCGGATGTGCTGCTTCAGATGGCTCAACTGTTTAAAAGCTTTAGTGCACCAACTGCATCTAAAGAGGAAACAAAAAAGAAAACAACCAGGATAAAGATGACTATTATTCAGTCTGGTCCTGACAAAAAAGGACAAGAACAGGAACATAAAGTAGAATTTAGTGAGGATAAATCCCATTCTGTCTACAGAAGATGGCTGCTAAAACTAAACTAAACTGCTTTTTTTTTTTTTTTGCTGAAATAAATATGTTTTTGAAAAGACAGGAAGAAATCTGAATAACGACAAATTATTCCAATAACTTCTAAAGAGGAAATAGTTTCACCCTCTGGAGGATTCTCCTCATTCAGCAGGTTTATCAAGCTGAACCCTGCTGAATTCAAGCTTCTGGGATTGTTGTATAACTGAGGAACATGACCTTTAAATTAGATAGCAATGTTTAATTCGCACTTTAAACTATTTTCCATGATTGGAATACTCTAACTTATAGAGCCCTTTAATTCAAGCACAGCTGCCACAAAGTGCTATACATATCAAGTAAAGTTAAAATTATTTAAAAACAACACAGAAGTTTAAAGAATTAAAACAGAGGTCACGAATTAGTGGACAGCGGTCCGGATCCGGAACCACCTGCTGGCTAATCCGCATCCAACCTGATTTAAAACATTTATAAATTACTGCATGTTGTCCAACAGCAGTGTCTAATTTCACTTGCACCACTTCTCCTGTTAATACGGTAAAGCCCTCCGGAACTACACCAGGCTATGCGTGATACAAATTAGCCAATGAGCGATACAAACTAGCCAATGAGCTGTCAGTCTGGGTTGCTGCTGCTGCTACTTATAGACACAGCAGGCAAACCTGTGGCAAGCCGGGCGATGGGACAGAAGGAGAAGATGAAGAGAAAAAGAGAGCAGAGAAAGTGTGGACTGCTGGAAGAACTGCGGTGAATTGGTGAAAGAAAAGTGAAATGGTGCTCAAAGATGACTCTGCACATTTAGAGATGTTTGGCTCAACCTGCTGCTGTAAAGCAGGATTCCCCACCATGAACAGAATCAAAAATAAATATGAATCAAGGCTCAATATGAGCATCTTGATTTGTGCTTGAGAGTGGCTTTGTCGCCTTCAAGTGCAGGCTTAAAGCCTTGCAGGGCAGCCTAAAGCCCACTCCTCTCATTAAGCCAGAAAAAAGAAAAAAGAAAAAAAAAAAAACGGTCAGTTCAGGTGTTGTGTTATTTCTGTGTTAAATTCTGTTTTAAGTAACAGATTATAAAAAAAATGTCTCCGGACCTTCTGGTTGTTGATTTTCTTTATTCAGACCCTGCTGATTTTTAATTGGTTACCCCTGGAATAAAACAAATTGAATAAAATGAATCAAGTGAAACTAGGGCTGTAACTAACAATTATTTTGCAAATCGTTTCATCTGTTGATTATTTTTGTGATTGATTGATTAATAATCAGAAAGCAAAAGGTTCCTTAAAGAAGATTGTACAACATTAAACCAGTTGAAGAGGGGTGTGAAGGAAGCCATCTATGTTAAGAAAAAAAAAAAAAAACAATCTTAAACAGTGGGGGGGGGGGGGAGACTCAGGTTTCAGTTTTCAAAAACCTACAAGGCAGCAATAGAGTTGATTCTTTCCTGCTATAATTGCAACCCCCTGTTCAGCCAGACCAACAATATCCTGGATGACTGAGAATCTTCAACAGCAATCTCCCTCTAACAATCCCCATTTCACAGATATAGACAGGTATCGGGTATTGCACGCCAACAACAAACCCAAATGACTCTCATTCCTAAGGGGTGGACCCGTTCGACCCGTTCCTTTTTGCCAATTTTAATTGAAAAAGCTGGATGGGAAGTTAAAGGTCTTTAAACTTGGAAACAAAGTCCAGTGGATTGTTTTTTTTTTTTTTTTTTTACTTTTTTAGAAAAACCAGTTGAGACTCAAACTCTTTCACTTGAGGAGTTCTGGATAGAGCATATTTGAACATATAGTTGATGCTCTAAGGGGGTTAATCTGTAATCTAAAGGCATGTTTTATAGTCTCCATACTTAGTAAATGATTAAACAATTACTAAATTAGTGGATCATTATTTCAATAATCAAGTAATCACTATTAATGCGATTCATTGTTTCAGCCCAAATTAAAACAAGTAAGAAAAATAGACAGTGAAGAGGATTGTCTAATGGGGTGAAGAAGCTCAGAGAGGTAAGTAGGGGCTGGGACATTGAAATCAAATAAAAGAATGTTTAAATGAACTCTAAAATACACAGGCAGCCAATGGAGGACGGCCAGGATGGGAGTTATGTGCTCGGTTGCTCTTTACATTAGTCCAGCCGAGATATAACAAAGGCATGGATTACTGTCTCAAAGTGCTGCTGTGCAGGAAAAGGTTTGACCTTGGCTAACTGTCTGATATGATAGAAGCTGGACTTTCAGTAAGTTAACTTGTTTATTACAGAAAGAACAGGACTAATGGACAACCAGGAACTCAAACAGAGGAAATCCTTGTACCCAAGCTCTGCAGGAGGCACAGCCTCTCATAAGAAACGTGAAAGACGGACTAACCCCTCTGAAATAAATCAAATTATAAAATATTCACTTTGAAAATATGTTAAAGCCTTTTATTTCAAACCAATCTGATCCGAAACAAAGGCTAAGAAAATATGATACTGAAAAGAAACCCACTGTCCTGTCTGTAGTCCTTCTTGCTTTTTCAGTTCCCTTCAATTGATTCAGTTATAGCAGTGCAAGCAGAGCTGATTTCATTGCTTACATGTTTGTCTTACCATTCCAGATCCAGGCTCCTTCGGATGACAAACTAAAAAGGATTTATTTTGCATCATGTTATGACTCCTGCTGTTACTGGCTGTGAAATTATTAATCCGCCCCGGGACAAGGATTAACAGGTTTTTATAAAACTCAATTTCATAAAAGGGAGACATGTTGAACTATCAAAGATGAGGAGATGTTAGTTTCTCTGGATTTTATAACCAGCGGTGTTTGATCTAAAACCCCTCAGTGCTTGTTTGCAAAGGAACGACATGGGCTTTAAAAGTGGCTGGCTAGTTACGACCAAAACAACATCCAATAAAAAGAGGAGCAGCAAAATGAAAGCATGTATAGAGAAACATCAACTTATCAGACGTGTATAAGATTTATACTTCTAGAAATTGTTCAAATTTAAGCTTAAAATGTAAATACAAAAACAAAAGACCCCCACTCATATTTGAAATTTCTTATGATCAATTACTAAAATAAAATTATTGAATCTGCATCTGTAAAACTCTGTTTTGTGACTCATCAATTCTTAAAAATCTTCACTTAAAGCTGGATTTCTCAACAAAATATCTAATATTAGGAGATGCTGATTACAAGGTAATATATTTTGTCCTTTGTTCCCACAGAGACTAAACTGTGGGTCATTCATTTTTTATTTTTATAAACTATTTTTTCACCAGAAGCTGCAGTCTGATGTTATCAAATTCAACTTGAATGCAATAAACAGGTAAAAAAAAATCCAAACTAATATATGCCTCTGCACATGTGTGACTACCTTTGAAAGGGAAAACAGGAGAGTCGCTATTTTCTCTCTGACTGCAGCTACAGCGTTTGGAGGAGGGAGGGGCTCACTCAGGTCCCTGAAGACATTAAACTGAGAGCGATCAGTGTTTTCATATCACAGAAGTCTCCAATAACACTGGAAACACTTGCTGGATTTGTCGCTAATCGCTTTTTGGTAAAAAAAGTTGCTCCAGGGATCTGACAAGTTGCTAAGTTTGCCACCAGCATAGCGTTTCTCAGGTTATTGACAGGCCAAACAGGGCCCTAGTACCCCCCTATTTACATTATGACTATGCTGTCTTATTAAACGGGGAAAAGATCTGATCAGACAATGGAGGGGCTTTAGCTTCAGCCCCACAAAATAGGCCTAAAAACGTCAATGTGCAGTACAACCAAGAGGAAGAACTATTAGAGGAGATGATGAGCAGCTATGGAAAACAAAAGCATTCGCCGTTTATGTTCCATTTAGGAACCATCATGATTTGAACACATGCCGAGAGATTTGCTTGTTTTTGTTCTTACATTCTGACACAGACTGATCCTGTGACACTAACCTGTGGGCTCTTTTGGAGTTGTCTTCCCCATCTTCCTGGTAGTCTGGTTCTTCTGAGTGCAGCTGGAGATCACTCTGCCCGCTCTCCTGTAGAAGTCCATTCGTCTGTTTCAGTAAAGAGGAAACCAAAACACCAATTACCCAATTATAAAACACATGACATATTTGTTTAAGTTTAGCTCCGAATTGATCTTACTTCTGGCAGCTTTACATCCCTCATTCATTTCATTCATCCAATAGGTTGATTTATAATAGGAAATGAGGGAGGGATCCTCCAAAAGATAAAACTATTTGAAAATAAATAGCTCTTCCTTCCTGTTACTCAAAAAATGTTTTCATATTTGTAATAAAGCGAAGCTATATTCTCCTTTGAGTTGTCATGAATCAATCCTTCTTGTCCTAAATTTTTATACTTTTCTCTTTGTTGATAAAATCTTTGTGGTTGGCCTCCTTCCCATCACCCTATCCGTTACTTTCCTCCATAGATTCTCTGTCGGACTCAAGTCAGGACTCTGGCTGGGACCCCACAAAACATCAATACCAGCTTGAGTCAGAAGAGACATTATCAAAGGATAACTGAACCTAAATCTGCCAGGAATATTAATCCATCTGTGTTTAACTTCAGTTGGAAACCAACACCAAAAAAGATGGGGGGAAAAAAAATCCCCATTCCCAAAAAAACTTAAAGGTAGAGAGGACTATGTTTAATTTCCTGGTGGGTCATCTCAATAAGTGGTCTTCCTAATTGTCAATCATTCTGGTGATATTTTTACGTAAGGTCGTCCAACATGTTAGCTATCTTTTTTTGTGCATGCGCACTTTCAGCCGCATATGTGTGGTGAGCTACGGTTACAGACAGTCATTGAAAGCTCACCTTTCTTGCCATGGTTCTGTGAAAATGGCCGAGGGTCATAAGAGTAAAAGTGTCTACGAAGTCTATGAGATGAAAATAAAGGCCTCAGGAGAAGCAGATACTATATATCCCAGTACGCTTTGCGCAGAGAGCTCTTCTCGCTAAACAGTATTGCATTTGCTATCATAGCGGCCCGCTGTAGGGAAGCGGGAACTAATAACAAAGATGGCGCCATCACCGCACGCAGGAGGAGGAGTTACGTAACCAACGGAGCAAAAAGTACTGATCTTCTGTCCAAACGGTAAGTTAACTCAGTTTGCTATAGATCCCCCACTATATGTGGAAACAGTAAGCTTGTATAAACTATGAGAACAGCACATTTTAAGCAGGGCCAAATGTGCTTTTGCACGTGCATATTTTTATTTATTTATTTTTTTTAAGTTTAGAGGGTGGGTCTTTTAAAAAAAACTCCGAAATATCTTAAAATACTAAATGCTGCAACCTTAAGTTAAGTTTTCACTGAATTTATACATTTAGGTTGATTAAGACTATAATGGAAGATAAAGTAGTTTTTTTGTTGTTGCAAAATTGCAAAAACTGACAGAAGGAACTTTTTAATCTGGTATCCGCCAGCAACAGATCTTTCATTTAGGCGTCAATTCTTTAAAAAAGAAGCTTCTCAATATTTGATATGGCAGAAACACTTTTTTTTTGGTTTTTGTGGTTTAATTATAAATAATTTCACAGAATAGCAGCGCAACACCAAAATAGAAACGTTGTTGCATAATGAGCAGTAAATATCTTTCTTATCTATTGGTTGCAGACATTACATGTTTTTAAACCTACTTTTTTAACATTTCTTATGTTTTTCCTCATATCTTTCAGATGAAACTTAAATGCTTAAATGCTGCTAACATTTTATTCAGTCAAGAAATCCAGTTTGAATTAGCGATTAGAAAACAGAGCATTAGTGAAGTATGAGGGCTTGAGTACTCACAACCTCTGAGCTGGAGACATGAAGCAGGTTTGGAGGGTAGGAGCTGGAGGAAAGCGCCTGGGACTCCAAGGTGCTGGAATCCTGCAGCTGCTGCACCGCTGAGAACTGGGGCTGGTTGTAGCTTGATTCAGATATGCTGAAGCCTGGATGGAGAACATTTATTTACTTGACTGCATTCAGAATGTGGCAGCATCAACCGATGGACATTTCTGACACAAAATTAGTTCAAATAAAACTACTTAGGATTTTATCTAGTGAAAACTCAAGTACTTTTTTTTTTATTAATTTTAGAAATTATGCAAAGGAAAGAAACCTTTCTAAACAAGATTTTTTTTTAATACGCAAAATTTCCAGAACTTAAACTTAAAAGTTTGTAACAATGGATGAGTCTGAAAAATACTGTGAAATAGTTCAATTTATCTGTTGTTGCAGCTTTCAGAAAGTGGAATTCATGTTAACCTCTTAAAACTCACAGTTTTAAAGTGTTTACAAATACCGGTAATAACTCAGAATGCATGAAAATTACACAGGTAAAATGTTTACCAATATAGACCTGTTAGACATCGTTGGAAAGCTTAGATTCTCCACAATTCAACCACCTAGTTCATTTTATGGACATAGCAAGCAACAAAGCACAATAAACACAGATATAGCAACATGTCAAAATGTAGCATGACAAAGCAGCCACAACAGGCAAGCATGTCTTTATAACTGCTGTTCAACGAAGACCTATTATTTTCAAGGATAAAAAAAAAAAAAAAATTGTCTTGTTTGAACTGATGCAGCTTGGGCTTGATGCAGCTTGAGTGTTTTACTCACCCAATTTGCATGCATATATTCAGAAACTAGAAGGTGTTAGCTTTCGAATAATGTATCACACATTTAGTTTGGGCTTATAGTTCTTAGTTATTTGCTTTTCCATTTGGGTATGCATAATAGTATGCAAAATATCCCAAAATGAGGTGGACATTAAGAGGTTAAAAAGATTAACCAAAGCAAAGTATTTCAAGGCATTTATTTTCTATTAATTTTGATAATTATAGATTAATAATGCTAAGAAACAGAAATGTGATGCTATAGAGATGCATTTCCACTTCTAAGGCATCAATTCTACTAAACTAAACAATGTTTTTCAGTATATTTTAGCCATAAAAACTAAATTTACAAGAGATCGGAGCTTGAAATAGTTCAGGCTGGGTAAAGAATCTATAATACCAGTTTAACCAATTAGTGACCAAAACCTTTAACTTTTTTATGGTGCTATAACTTTTTTTAAAATGTATCTGTTAAAGCCCCAAATATTCGAAACAGACAGTAGGCTATAGATTCTTAAAACAGATATTTGAGAATGGCACGAAAACATCCAAGTCAGAGAGCCCGGCTGCCTTTTCTGTAACATGTCTAAAGTGGGTGGGATGGACTTCACCCATTGTTCAGTTAAGGCTGATTTATACGCAGCAACCAGGTCGTCTGTGTGTGTGTCACAGTGAACAAAAAATGTGCCCCCATCCCCTCTGCAGACACTCTGCTGCACCTCTTCAAAAATGTCGGTGATGCAGACAGGAGGCCTGTGATTGGTCAAATCTACATCCGCTCTACACTATGTGTATTTCCTGTTTGGTACCTTAACAACTCATTTTGTTTGTATGACCGCTATTGTGGAAAATGACTCATAAAGTTGAACCAGCTAGAGGAGCGAGGTCAGCAAGAAAGCTGGGACCCTTTTTCCACCTGGATCCCCACTCTTTTTCGCCCTCTGTTGTCGGACAAACTTGCCCCCACTTCCTCACCGCCTTGGCCGTATCTAGTCCCACAGCTAGTACATGATTGTCCCTCTTGCGTTGTGGCGTGGAATAACAAAGCGCAGATCTCGCTTCAATATTAGACATAAATGAAAAATATCTGCAACAAGCTCACTGCGGCACACTGCTATGGGAGGATAACCAGCCCTTAAGTCACCATGGACACCAGATGGAGAATGGTGCACTGCTCTTTCCTGTGGGTCTGCAGTTTGACAGGTCTATCAGGTATAATAGGCTTTTTTAGGACACCTGTCTGTTGTCATATGATTCCTAAGATTTTTCAGGGCTTTACGAAGCATAAAGCAACACGTTGCCACCTGGCAACAATCTTTGTTTCTTCATTTGTATATTTTTATGCATAAAAGATAACAATAAATGATTTGTTCCTTATTCATTAAGCTGACAAGATGCTGCTTCTAAATTGTAACCCTTTAAAATAAAAAAGGTCCCTTGTTGCTCTTTGGATTTCTTAAGTTCTGAAGAGCTGCTAATTATGAAACTAACCCCCATGTGTGAACTTCAAATGATGCATAACTGGAGCAGCAGTAAAATCTGGTGATAAATCAGATTACCAAATGAGTTTCTGCTTCGAGTGTCTAAATAATGCTGGGTTTCCACCAGAGGCCCCGAGGGTTTCATGTCAATGGCAACACTTCAATCACAGCGCATAACAGTACTCCAGCTCTGACAGCAGGGCACAGGGGGCTAAAGCTGGGTTTGATGTTCAAGAGCCCCTCTTATCCAGAAACATGAAATGTGTGCCCTTCAAATTTAGATGACAGACCAGGCCATGTGTCTTCTCCTCCATGGACCGATTATATTGCACATCTGTTCTGGTTAGAGGTTACACCGCAACCTGGGAGAGTGAAAAAACTGATCTATTTCCTGGATGTATTATGAGCGAAGCATCAGCCTGAGTCGCCTTTTTAAGGCTGCACAGAAACAACAAGGGTCTGTTGGCAGACTTGGCAACGTTGTGGAAAATAATATCAGATGTCTGAAAGCACTTCGGTCCACTTTAGGGTATGCAAGATAAATAAAGAACGATGGATATGAAGAGAAGTATCCGACTTCCACATATGGAACGTCCAATAAAAAGCAGAGGGATGGTGATTTTTTTTTATAGAAATCATTATAAAACTAGCTCTCTTTGGACAAGCTTAAAAAACATCCATCAACATTCATGAATTATTGATTAGTTTGGTGAGACTAAAATAAAAGCTTTAGCTATTGTAGACATTTCTCACAGCGGTAAACTGCCAACCTCACTGCAACAAGGAATCACATCGTACAGTATCAACACTCTGATTCTCTCTGATCCTCTCTTTATGGAGGCATAGATATCAGCCCAGTCTGAGGCTATCATTGTGTGTCATTGCTGTGGTGTGAGCAGGTTTGTTTGGATCCCCATTAGCTGCCACATCAACAGCCACCAGTCTGAATGGGATCCACACAGAAAATTTTATTTAAAATGATTTTAACCGCAGAGTAAACTATAGGTTGTAAAAATATGTAACTCATCAGTATGAAAAAGAAAAATAGGGATAGAAATTCAGATTATTATTATCCCTGGTGTATATTTTTTCTCACGGACTATCATTGGGATTAAGGTCTGGTAACAAAAGAAGAAAATGAAAAACAATCCACTTTGTTTTCAAGTTTGAACACGTTTCTCTTCCCATTCAGGAAGCTTGTACAATTCCAAATGTCAGGAATAGCATTGAGTTTGAGGTTTTGTACAGTAGCCTAACAAAGCTTGGTTGTATTTCATCCCTACTGACCGCCAGAGGCGGTGCTTCAAGCACTGAATGATCATTCATGCGCATGCGCAGGTCGAGTATTAATGACAACAAAGTCAGCTGTGACCTGCCGGGGACCCACGTGACTCTATATAGTCACGTGGCACCCGGCAATCAATCCATTTTGTTCTTCTCGCGCGCAGGTGTGTTGAGTACAGGAGTGTGGTCGTGTGAAGCTGCTTGCTTCTGTGTATACCACTAGTTTCCTGGCTGCTTGTTGCTGGTAGCCCCGTGACCGGGTTTGGTCGGAGCTGCGGGTAAGTCTCGCCCTCCAGGGGCTGCACAAGCTGCTTTCACCTTACCAGATCTGCGGTGACTGGTAGGTTTTCGTTCTTTTCTCAGCAGTAGTTTACTGTTCGCTTTGATTTTCCACGTTAATTTTGTGGCTCTTTTGACTCACGGTAGCGTTTCTGCTCGCGCTGAGTTGTTTTCAGTTTGTTTGCCTAAGCCCACCAGTAGCGTTTCTGCTCGCGTTGGGTTCTTCTATAGTTTTTTTATCTACACTCACCAGTGGCGTTTCTGCTCGCGCTGAGTTGTTTTCAGTTTGTTTGCCTAAGCCCACCAGTAGCGTTTCTGCTCGCGTTGGGTCCTTCTATAGTTTGTTTATCTACACTCACCAGTGGCGTTTCTGCTCGCGCTGAGTTGTTTTCAGTTTGTTTGCCTGAGCCCACCAGTAGCGTTTCTGCTCGCGCTGAGTTGTTTTCAGTTTGTTTGCCTGAGCCCACCAGTAGCGTTTCCGCTCGCGTTGGGTTCTTCTATGGTTTGTTTGCCTAAACTCACCAGTGGCGTCTCTGCTCGTGCTGAGGTCATCTTTAGTTAATAATCGAGTCGCCAGTAGCGTTTCCTGCTCATGTTGACTTGTCCTTGGTAGCGGGCTGATCACGCCTTTCAGCAGTATGATGCTGGATAGTTTGTGTTGCTCGACCTGTCTGGCTCCACTTCAGCCCGATGACGGGCATGACTTGTGTCCCTCCTGCCTCGGTGTGGATTGTGGTTGTCCACGAGAGTGGATCATCTCACTGCTGAGCTGGCCCAAATGAAAGCCCTCCTCCAGTCCTTTCAGACTGCTGGTGATCGTGGCACGGCTCTCCCTACCGAGCAGGATGAAACGTCAGTCAATGACGACGATGCTGTTTCTGTGGCGGCCTCTGGCACCCATTTCTGTGAGGACCTTCCGGAGCTGGGCTCCGGGGCCTCTGGGTCGGACTCCATTGCCTCCCAGGAGGATACGGGGGAGTCTGTGACATCCGCTATTCGAATGGCTCTTGCCCGTTTACAAATTAGTGTTCCTCAGGCCCAGCCTGCGGCCTCCAGTGCCTTCTTTAGGCGCAGTAGGTCAGAGACTGCCTTTGTGGTTCCTCCCTCGGCGGAGTATGTGCGGGAACTGCATGCTTGCTGGTCAGACACCAAGGCGTTTTCACGTCTGACGACGGATGGCAGGGTCCTGGCAGCTATGCAGGAGGCACCCAAGGTTGGCTTAGGGCAGATGCCAGCGGTGGAACCGGGCATTGCCTCTCTTATAATCCCGCCTGATGAGGCCTTGCGGCCCAATGCCCGTTGTCCGCGTCCTCAGTGCCGTATTACCGACGACCTTCTCTGCAAGGCCTATGACTCTGGGGCCCGCATGGGCCGGATTGGGAACTCTCTCTCCCATCTTATGCTGGCCCTGTCTTCCTCCTTGGAATCTGTTCCGCTGGATCATGCCACGCAAGGCCTGGTTGATGCATCTCTGCAGGCCTTTGCTCTTATGACGAGGGAACTTGGACGCACACTCTCCACACTGGTTCATGCTCGCCGCCAGGTCTGGTTGGCGCAGTCACCACTAACTGAGCCTTGTAGGAGGACCCTCCGGGCCCTGCCTGTGGTCCCGGGGGAGCTTTTTGGTTCTGCGGCACTGGACGCCTTGGACCGTACGGCTCAGGCCTCTAGAACGAGGCAACAGCTGGCAGGGATTCACAGACGTGATCGCCAGCCAGTGAGCACCTGGGCAGCTGCAGGTCCTTCACGGAGGTCCTTAGTGCCTTCTCCTTCTCCCACTGAGCCCCAGGGTCTATTACCAGGTCAGAGATTGGTCCAGAGACCTGCTCTAGATCGGAGGAACAGAGCTCGAGACCAGGCTGGGACAAGGTCCTTTCATCCCTTTCGAGCCGCGCAGTCTGGCCGGCGTCCTCCCGGGCCTTCGAAGGGCCGGGGGACCCGCAGATGATGCCTTAGGGCCGGCGGTCGGTTATTTTTCCCCGGGACAGCTCAGCTTCTGGGCTGCCCACACCCCGGACTTGTGGGTGTTGTCCACCCTGTCCCGGGGGTACCGTCTTCAATTCCGCCGCCGGCCACCTATCCCTGGCCGGGTCAGGATGACTGTGATCCACGACCCGGTGAAGGCACAGGCACTGAACCAGGAAATCTGCACCTTGCTGGCCAAGGGTGCTATAGTGCCTGTGGACCCCCTGCTGGATCCAGGGGGCTTTTATTCCACGTATTTTCTGGTTCCGAAGAAGACCGGGGGCCTGCGTCCAGTCTTGGACCTCAGAGGCCTGAATGTGTACTTGAAGGCCATGCCCTTTCATATGCTGACCACCAAGGAAGTGTTGCAGGCGATTTCCCCGGGCGATTGGTTCACTTCCATAGATCTCAGGGATGCTTATTTTCACGTTCCGATCGCTCCGCCCCATTGGTGGTTTCTTCGTTTTGCTTTTCAAGGGAGACATTTCCAGTTCAGGGTCCTCCCGTTCGGACTTTCACTGTCCCCCAGGGTGTTCACCCGATGTGTTGCAGCGGCCCTCTCTCCTCTGCAGGCACAGGGATTGAGGATCCTCCCATATCTGGACGACTGGCTCATTTGTGCTGCGACGTGGGACCAGGCGGTTCGAGATACTCGGTTAGTGCTCCATCATGTGGGATGCTTGGGCTTGCAGGTGAACATGGAGAAAAGCAGTCTGACTCCCTCACAGGAGACTGTCTTCCTGGGCATTGCCATGGATTCCATCTCAATGACTGCTTGCCCGTCCCCCCAGCGGGTGGACAGTATATTGAGCGTGCTCCCGGAATTCAGGCGCGGCATGGCGCTGCCTCTTGTGCGGTATCTTCGACTCTTGGGCATGCTTACAGCTGCGTCCGCCGTAGTGCCCTTGGGGCTGCTGTCATTGCGGCCCCTCCAGATGTGGTTGAACAGCTTGAATCTGGATCCCACACGGAACGCTCATCGTCTCCGAAGACTTCGGGTGGGGCCTCAGTGTCTTCAGTCTCTGTCCCAATGGAGGGTGAGGTTGTTTATGACCACAGGGGTCCCGCTCGGTTCCCTCCCGTGTCGTCGGGAAGTTGTGTTTACAGATGCATCCTCCACGGGCTGGGGTGCAACCTGGCGGGGTCAAATGGCACAGGGGACATGGTCCCAGCGGCAGGGCAGGGAACACATCAATGTCCTGGAGTTACAGGCTGTACTTCTGGCTCTTCAGAGCTTTCTTCCAGGCTTGCGGGGGAAGCACGTGCTAGTGAGGTCAGACAACACCACAGTGGTCTTTCACATCAACCACCAGGGGGGAACGAGGTCAAGGAAACTGTTGTGCTTGACTCGACGGCTTCTGACCTGGGCAGCTCCACGCATAGCCAGCCTCAGAGCAGCCTACATCCCAGGGCCGGAGAACGTGCCAGCGGATTTTCTATCCCGTCAGAAGCCGCTTCCAGGGGAGTGGAAGCTTCACCAAGAGGTGGTGGAGTGCATCTGGAAGGTCTTTGGCAGGGCGGACGTGGACCTCTTTGCCTCAAGGGACGCATTTCACTGTCCCCTTTGGTTCTCGTTGGACAACAGCAGCCCTCTGGGCCACGATGCTCTAGCACACGACTGGCCCCGGACCCTCCTTTATGCCTTTCCGCCATTCAGCCTACTTTTTCAGACTCTCCTCAGGGTACGTCAGGAGGGACACAGGGTCCTGCTGGTGGCCCCCTACTGGCCAGCGAGGACTTGGTTTCCTCTACTGTGCGAGCTCAGCTCCGGCTCGCCAAAGCGTCTCCCCTCCAGGAGAGATCTTCTTTCCCAGATGGGGGGTCAGATCTTGCACCCCGAACCGGACCGGCTCCAACTCTGGATTTGGCCCCTGCAAGGCCGGGGTCCACCTTCTCAAGATACACTGGGTCCATAGGGCATACAATGGCTAATGCATGGGCGCCGTCCACGCGAGCTGTCTATGCTAACAAGTGGACGGTCTTTGCGACCTGGTGCCGTGATAGAGGGCAGGACCCGGTGCAGTGTTCAGTTTCTGACATACTGACCTTCCTGCAGGCATTGCTGGATCAAGGACGGTCTCCATCTACCTTAAAGGTGTATGTGGCTGCCATTTCCTGTTGGCATGTTGGGCTGAATGGTTGTTCTGTGGGCCGAGACAAGGATGTTGTACTGTTTTTAAGAGGTGCTCGGCGTTTGCACCCACCCAACCGCCCTGTGGCACCGGCGTGGGACCTTTCTCTGGTGCTTGAGGCTCTTCGGTCCCTCCCATTTGAGCCCCTGGCGTCGGCGGACCTCAAATGGCTCTCACTGAAGACTGCGTTCCTTTTAGCTATGGTTTCCGCAAAACGTGTAGGGGAGTTACAGGCTCTCTCGATAGCCGAACCCTGCTGCCGGTGGAATCCTGATGGCTCAGGCGTTACACTGTGGGCTGACGTAGCATTTATTCCTAAGGTATCACTGCCAGCAGGCAGCACCCAGCCTCTCCATCTTGCCCGGTTTGACTCCGGAAGTCCCTCTGAACCGCTGTGTCCTGTTCGTGCCCTTGAGACATACATCAATGCCACGGCATCCTTCCGAAAGACAAATAGCCTTTTTGTTTGCTACGCTGGCTCACGGAAGGGTCAGGCACTTTCTAAGCAGCGACTTGCACACTGGGTTGTGGATTTGATCTCCAAGGCTTATGCCTTGCAGGACCGGCCACTGCCGGCGGGAGTGAAATGCCACTCTACAAGGGGCATGTCGACATCGTTTGCTGCTATGACTGGGGTGCCATTGGATGTTATATGCCGTGCGGCCTCCTGGAAATCACCTAGTACCTTTACTCGGTTCTACAGGGTGAATGTGGCTGCGCCCCATCCGCTTCAGGGAATCCTCGAGCAGCATGCCTCTACATCACATTAGGTGGGTGGCGTAGTCGTTGTTCCTTGAATGTTGCTGATTCCTCGTGACCTTGTTGATATGAGTCATCCAGTGCTTGAAGCACCGCCTCTGGCGGTCAGTAGGGATGAAATAGAACGAAAGTTACTACCGTAACTACGGTTCTATGAATCCCGGATGACCGCCAGAGTGCTTGGTCCCTCGGAATTTCTGCTTTCGCGAGAAGATTGAGGGATTGATTGCCGGGTGCCACGTGACTATATAGAGTCACGTGGGTCCCCGGCAGGTCACAGCTGACTTTGTTGTCATTAATACTCGACCTGCGCATGCGCATGAATGATCATTCAGTGCTTGAAGCACCGCCTCTGGCGGTCATCCGGGATTCATAGAACCGTAGTTACGGTAGTAACTTTCGTTTTTGTTTTGAAAACATGCAAATTGAATTTGGACAAAGGGGTCCACCTCTTGTGAAAGGGGGTCATTTGGCTTCTTTTGTTAGCCTGCAATGCTTCATACCCATCTAAGTGTCTGACAGGAGGGTCGTTAAAGGAGATGCAACGACCAATTCATTTTGAGTTGAAAAGGTTCCTGGATGGGAATCGAACCATCTTCAAACTTGGAAACAAAGTCCAGTGGACTGTTTTTAATTTAATTTTTTTTTGGAATAACTATGACCTTGATGACTGAGAATCTTCACCAGCATATTTTATGGTTAATCTTATAGACAGAAAATAATTTGATATCTTGTATGGTTTAATGACCACTGTATAAACAGCAGTGTGGACTGATGACACATAGTTTTTTTTTTTATCAAAATCAACATTTCTATAAAGGTTGCAAATGAAAGCCTTAAATGCAATGACTGCAACAATTTATTACTATTTACTTCACAGTCCTCAGTAATATATTACACACTGGACGGCTGACTTTTGTCAGCGATGTCCTTTTAAGGACAAGGTGCCACTGTCTGTTTGCTGGAGGACTGCCAAGTTTTTTTAACATAACAAAAAAATACATAACATGAAAAAAAATGGAAATAATAATACATTTGGGAAAAAGTTGCAGTATGCAAGTTTTTAAATTATATTTATCTAGCGAATACATTATTTGTGGATCTACAAATAAAATGGGGTAAACTGGCTTAGGAATAAGGGTCACGACATACTGTACATACATGCACATATGTGAAACAAACAAAAAGAAAAAGGATTCAAGTAACTTCTCCCAGAAAGCATGTGTGCATAGGCGACCGTGTGTTTACCTTGTGTTAGACTTTGCTGGTCAAAGGCAGGCTGAGGTAGTGCTGGCGTCTCAAACTGACTGATATTCTGAGGCAAACCATGTTGTGTAGTTACGTACGAGTCTAAGAGAGCAAAGAGGATGTAAAGCAACAGATGGAAAATATCAAGTTAGAAAAAGAATTTAAAAACACTTCTTGGGTTCACTTTCTAAAAGGCATAAAAGATTTTAGATTAAGAATAGGCTGTCACTCAAGTTTATATGCAGCAATAAATACTTTTGGCAGCAAAGTGTAAGCACCATGCAAATGTTGCAGGAATGAGCCATGCTCAGAGCAGTCACAGTAACGCTGAAAGGCTATTTAAGTATATTGCTTTTATTTAATTTTTTGAATATGTAATATTTACGCAAATACAAAAATATTTCAAACAACTCTATATAAAATAAACCAAACATGTTTTGCTTTTGCTGTTACCTTCACCTTGAACGAGTGCTTGGTCAGTCAGGGGGGCATCAAGTGATACTTGCGGGCCCCCATTTACAACCTCTGTCTGGCCCAGTCCCAGCATGCCTTGCTGCTCCACTGTGGTGGTGGTACCCTGCTGGAGAGACTCTGCCTCCATTTCCACCGGCATATCGTGGGTAACGCCACCTGTTCCCAGCGGATCGTCTCCTGACTGTGGCTGCAGCTGCTGGGCCAGTTCATACCTGGGTTTCCAGCACAATAACAGAAAGTTAGGCCACCTCACTGATCCTCTAGAGTCCACATCACTAACCCAAACAAAAAGGACACACAAACCTGTGCGTCTTCATGTGCTTCCTACAGTTGGGTGAAGACTTGAATGTCTTCTGGCAGTAGGGGCACATGTACGGTCGAAGTTCACTGTGAGTAGTCATGTGGCGCCGCAAGCTGCCGCTGGTGGTGAACGTTGTGTCGCACATCGGACACTTGTATGCTTTTAGGCCCGAATGGGTTCGGATATGAGCTTTAAGGACTCCTGAAGAGGCGAAACCACGACTGCACTGAAAACACTTGTATGGCCGTTCTCCTGTATGAGATCTGGGACAAACAGAGCACAGAAAAATGAGAAAACTGTTCAGAAATACCTTAAAGACACAGAAAATTAATTATGGAAAAGAAGAAAATAAAAGTTAAATAATTCTCCAACCTGTAGCTAAAGTCACCTATAGGCCCCAGAATAACCTTTTCTTCAGGACCTCCTCAGAACAATCCAGAACAAAGCTCTGCATCTTTTCCTCCCAGCACTGCGTTACATGGCTGACTTTAATAAAAGTCCCTTAATATTTAACATGGGAGCATTTACACCTAATCAGTGATCCACGAAAACTGTCCCCAGGTGTAGGAATCAATCTTCTGTTTGAGATATGAGCCATAAATCTAAGCTAAGTTGCAAAGGGCATTGTAAGGAAAACAACAGAACTCCGGCTTTCACAAGTTGTTCCATTTGCCTTGAAATTAATCTTTCTATATAAAAACTATTGATAAATAAATGTTCTTATATAGAAAAAGTAAACACACCCTTCCTCCAAATGATTTAAACATCTATGTCTCTGACATCACTCTGAGGAAACTTGTATTGCTTCTCATCCTCAGCTGTGCGATGTTTGAAGGGTTTCATGCCAGTACAGACAACCTTACATCAGGTGTAGCTTTTAGTTCTGTTCTACAGGATCTTATTTTTTTCCTTTTGTTCACTCTGATAAACAGTCCAGTTCATGTGGTGAGATGGCCAGAGCCTCCTGCAGTAAAAGCATCCCAAACAGTCACTCTTTAAGCTCGGTACCTCAGTTGGTTGCGGTCCTTTTCTGTATTATCTCTGTTTTCCTCATAACTTACATTCCTATGGTTGTTAAGGAAGCATACATGTAATTCTGCTGGGAATAAATCTTTAAAAACAGGGAAATAAAAACTTTCTTCAGATTTCTTTCTGGGGTAAAAGAAGATGAAAACTAAAATAGGATAGTTTAGTACGAAGACTCTGAAAGTCAGTTAATGCAGGAATAAACATCTAAAGCTCAACCAAGAAGACAAAAGCAATCAACTTCCAGACATCGAGGACCACACCATATTTATGCTTGAGCATCAACGAAGTCCGGCTTTCTCAGAAGGATCTGGGATAAAAAGGCCCAGCAGCGTCTTTTTTGTTGTTGTTTTTTTAAGTTTTTACGGCACTAGTGGCTCGCTTTTTTGACAGTAGGCTGAGAGGAAAGGGGGCATGAGAGAGGGGGACAGACATGCAGCAAAGAACCACAGTTGGGATTCGAACCCGAATATATTACTGACATAATGTGGATAAAACCCGGGTCGGCTGCCCCGAGAAGCGTCTTAATTCTGAGAAGAGGCCTGCACCTTAAAAACTTGCACCGCTTTACAATAAAGAGCATCCCATCAGAGATCGTCTACAATGAAAATAAAGTTTTTTCTTATATTGTATTATTAGTCTGACCCTTGCAAGTAATTGTAAACTTGGTTTAATGGCATAAAAAGGGTGAACATGTCACCCCTGTTCTGTCCTGCCTTTCTTGTCTCCAAGTCTTCTTCCAAATTAATTTTAAAATCCTGCTGCTTACTTTGTTTTCTTTGTTTCAGGCCAGGTAGTTTCTACCTAACATTCCCTGGAGGAGATTAAAAACCAAAGGGAGAGTCATAGCTGCAGCCCAAAAGCCCCATCTTTATTAAAGATGTAAAGATTGGCCTTTTTTCCCCCCCTTTTGCTTTAAATCCAAGTTGAACTTGAAGCATTCTCTCAAATACTGTTAAAGCTTGTTTTGACCATCTTATATATCATCTTGTGCCTTTAAGGTTCCTGTATCAATTACAGGTGCTGGTCATAAAATTAGAATATCATGAAAAAGTAGATTGATTTCAGTAATTCCATTTAAAAAGTGAAACTTGTATATTATATTCATACATTACATACAAACTCATATATTTCAGATGTTTATTTTGTTTAATTTTGATGATTACAAATGACAACAAATGAAAATCTCAAATTCATCATATCAGAAAATTAGAATATTACTGAAGACCAATAAAAACAAAGGATTTATAGAAATGTTGGCCAACTGAAAAGTATGAACATGAAAAGTATGAGCATGTACAGCACTCAGTATTTAGTTGGGCCTCCTTTGGCCTGTATTACTGCAGCAATGCGGCGTGGCATGGAGTCGATCAGTCTGTGGCACTGCTCAGGTGTTATGATAGCCCAGGTTGCTCTAATAGTGGCTTTTAGCTCTTCTGAATTGTTGGGTCTGGTGTATTGCATCTTCTTCTTCACAATACCCCATAGATTTTCTATGGGGTTAAGGTCAGGAGAGTTTGCTGGCCAATTAAGAACAGGGATACCATGGTCCTTCAACCAGGTACTGGTAGCTTTGGCACTGTGTGCAGGTGCCAAGTCCTGTTGGAAAATGAAATCTGCATCTCCAAAAAGTTGGTCAGCTGCAGGAAGCATGAAGTGCTCTAAAACTTCCTGGTATGTGGCTGCGTTGACCCTGGACCTCAGAAAACACAATGGACCAACACCAGCAGATGACATGGCACCCCAAACCATCACTGACTGTGGAAACTTTACACTGGACTTCAAGCAACGTGGATGAAGTGCCTCTCTTCTTTTCCTCCAGACTCTGGGACCTTGATTTCCAAAGGAAATGCAAAATTTACTCTCATCAGAGAACATGACTTTGGACCACTCACCAGCAGTCCAGTCCTGTTTCTCTTTAGCCCAGGCAAGACGCTTCTGACGCTGTCTGTGGTTCAAGAGTGGCTTGACACAAGGAATGCGACAGCAGAAACCCATGTCTTTCATACGTCTGTGTGTGGTGGTTCTTGAAGCACTCACTCCAGCTGCAGTCCACTCTTTGTGAATCTCCCCCACATTTTTGAATGGGTTTTGTTTCACAATCCTCTCCAGGGTGCGGTTATCTCTCTTGCTTGTACACTTTTTTCGACCACATCTTTTCCTTCCCTTCGCCTCTCTATTAATGTGCTTGGACACTGAGCTCTGTGAACAGCCAGCCTCTTTAGCGATGACCTTTTGTGTCTTGCCCTCCTTGTGCAAGGTGTCGATGGTCGTCTTTTGGACAACTGTCAAGTCAGCAGTCTTCCCCATGATTGTGTAGCCTATAGAACTAGACTGAAAGACCATTTAAAGGCTTTTGCAGGTGGTTTGAGTTAATTAGCTGATTAGAGTGTGGCACCAGGGGCCATCAATTTTGAACCTTTTCACAATATTCTAATTTTCTGATATGATGAATTTGAGATTTTCATTTGTTGTCATTTGTAATCATCAAAATTAAACAAAATAAACATCTGAAATATATGAGTTTGTATGTAATGTATGAATATAATATACAAGTTTCACTTTTTAAATGGAATTACTGAAATCAATCTACTTTTTCATGATATTCTAATTTTATGACCAGCACCTGTAAGTTGTAACAGATCTTTTATTGTTTATTTGTAGTATCCTAAACTTAAATGTTTTAAAGTTGTTGTGTCTTATAAATGCATTTTACATTGGTTTTATAGACTTAAATTGGTATAAAAGGAAAGTAAGTGATCAAAAACTAAACAATACTTCTCTTTATTGAATATTAATATAATTTTCTTTCATCTCAAAGCACATAACAGTAGAGCGCACAGGGGTTGAGCTGAAAATCATCTTCTTAGGTGCTGTCCTGTTTCTGTGTAGCCACTCTGAGCAATTTCAGTTGAAACATTGAAATGTTTGAGCTAAGAACCCAGCAGACGTCTCCCTCCTGATTAGCAGGATGCAGGGATTCCTTGTCGCTTGGTTTGTTAGAGCTGATTCTGTAGGAGGCTGAAATCTCAGACTGAACTGATCACATCCAGAGATATAATCCCCGATAATGGGGGCAGATAAAAAAAAAAACAACTGCTGATATATATTAATGTGATGGTTTAAATCAAAGCAAATATGCCGTCAGGATATTGTTGTCACAGAAGCGATATTATTTTACAGTTTTCCCAGCTAGAAAAGTGTGAAATAATATTCATTATATCCCTTCAGTTTTTGCATCTTTTATCATCCGGATGTTTCATAAAAACATGTGCAACCAGAGCAAATGACTGTTGTGTAAATAAAAAACATTGTCAAACATTGATTTATTTGTTGCTTTACTGACATAATGTGGATAAAAATGCCTATTGTCTGTGTCATAATATTAGCTGATTAGGCTAAATGCCTCATTAAATGCCTCATTAAATGCCATAGGTAACAATGTGCTTCACTGTGTAGCCGTCAGTCTTCGTTTCACTGGCTTTCATTTCCTGGTAGTTGGCGTCACATCAATCAAGCACCACATCTAACAGCACCAACAGCCTTCAATTATTTCTCTTTTGTTAAGTCAGTCCATAGAATGTTTCCCAGAAATTTTAGCATGTATTTCAGCAGAGAAGTACCCTGTTCTTTTAAGACAGCAGTCGTTCTGACCTCAGATGCCTCATTGCCTCTGCTCTGCTGTTGAACCATGAACTTTGACCTGAATTAACTAAACTTCGGTCTGCAGAGCCTCGGTTATTGTCCTGGGTTTTTCTGCAACCTCCTGGAGGAGTTGTGGATATAGACTTAGAGACTTAGACAACTTCTATTGTCGTTTTGTATACACAGAGTGAATACAAAAGGAAATTTTGTTTTGTACAGCTTTCAGGATATTTCTATTACTTAATGTGCAGCAGTGATCAAATGTAAACAGTGTGGGAGACAAAAAAAATGGTTAAAAAAAACGCATATGCCCTTGGATGTGCTCTCGGAGTTAAAGTTGGTAGACGGGGGTCCGTTTTAAGAAGCAGGTTTAAGAAACTCAGGCTCAAATCCACAACTCTACATTGATCTAGCCTAAAGTTGGGAACTCAGAGTTTTCGGTTTTCACAACAGCTGCTATGAATTAGTTCATTCAACTCTAAGTAGGTCCACTCAGAGTAAGGTAGTGGTGGCCAAGTGGTTAGAGCAGTGCGCTTGTGCTCCGAGAAGGTTGCAAGTACGCATTTCAATCCCCACAGCCTGCACTCTGGGTTCCTGAGCAAGACTCTTAACCCCACACTGCTCCCCGAGCACCACACAATGGCAGCCCACCTCTCCCCAAGGTAATGGGTCAAATGCAGAGAGTGAATTTCCCCATTGGGGAACAATAAAGGGATTTATATACAGAGTTGAAAACATATTTCACACCACTGGAAGAGGAAATTATAATGAAGAAATTAAAGAAAAATGGATAATGTCTTTAAAAGACTAAGAACCAGTTCTACAGCTGCAAAGGAGAGGAAGACAGTGAAAGAGGAGATTGTTGCTAAAGTTAATTCATAGGTTTATATGAAGTCCCTATGGCAGGCTGTTTTAACTTTTATTAAAGCACTCTCCTCTCTGTTGTTCCTTTTCTAGATCACTAAAATAAGTTTCTTCCTGATAAAAATCACACCCCTAGACTGAACTGTAATAACATATTTTATGAATAACATTTTTGCAGCAGAAACTGAATTTCAGAAAGTAAAAAAAAAACCCACACAATTATGAAAGTAAGAATTATGTTTTATATATCTAGAAATGTTAAACATTTCAAGCGGCTGTTTTTGACATATTCAGTTTGACTGAATATGTATTTATAATATCTGAAATATGTTTCTTCATAGTCAAAATAATACAAATGCTGATCAGTAACTATAGGAACTATAGGAATATTAATTTATAGACACCCAGAATGTTTATTCTAGATGAGGCGAATGTCATTTTGTTTGAAATGGTCATTTTGACAAGGAAAAAAATGCTTTTTCAGATATCAGAAAAATGTTATCAGTAAAACTAATAAATACCAAAATGGCTTGTTAAAGCCTGTTTTGACCACAATAACATTCCGGGTTTATTTCTTAAATGGTAGTGGATCAGTGTATCTATTTAGATGAAATCATCTGACAACAGGTGAAGTCTAAAAATGTTGTTCTAATAGATAGGACCTGCTCATAGTCTCATGGAGTTCCTCCCCAGTTTGATTCTGTGTTTCTTTTACACAGTAAATACAAAGTGCACTTCAGATGTTATCATCCCAATAAATGTTCGTTATTAGTGGCTATCAGTCCCATCGAACGGCTTCAGATTGTGCCAGTAGGCTCAGTAGGGTGTTATAACTGAATTAATCCTAATTCTAAACCTAAGGTTATTCCTTTTTCCCCCGCGGAATTAATTAATCTAGTTATGTGTTATCGGGAAATTTCAGTAGTTCTTCATATAGCTACTGTAAAAAATAAATAAATAACATAATCCGCATGTGGCTCATATTAAACAAACCAAAAACAAGTAATCTCATGCCCTGTCAACTGAGTTTTAGAATCCTCTCACTATAAAAATTTTATTCTCTGTGAAAAAGTGCTGATAATTTTTTAAATAAGATCCTCATCAAACGGACATGCAATGTTTTTTTTTTATATATATATTTGTGTCTAACAGACCTAGTGAATGATTTACTTTTTATTTACAAAACTATGACAGAACTCTGCTGATTAAATCAGGAAATAATTGGCTCTTAGGGGAGAGTGGAGACAGATCTGAGTTTACAAAACAAAATTATTGGGGAGAATGTTACTACAGCAACACAAACAGACGTAGAGGAAACTGTCTTTGTGAAACAGAAAACTCAGTTTCCCTGATTTCAGGTTTAGGTTCAGTAAACCTAAAATCACGGACACTAACAGTCCTTCATAGTTCATGGTGGAAATTTACATGACTTTCCACCCTCGCTTCTTATGTTGGATAGAATTTATGTGGACTGGAGAAGCTATGCTGCTCTTTTAGATGAGTTGTTGTCGGACGGGTTCTATTTCAGGGCTGATCAGGTCTGTGTTTAAAAAGAAAAGTTACAAGGCCATGCATATTTCCCCCTCCACAGTTTAGCACCAATTTATTGGTCCATCGCAAAAAATAATCCAATAAATACATAAAGGTTGCAGTTGTATTGTGAGAAAATGAGAGGAAATTTAACAGGGTAGCCATCATTTTGCACTATACGTTATTTAGGCCCTGACTAGTTAAATTTCTGCAGCTTGTACACATAAGCAGTAAAGCAGTCGCTCATCTCCCTTATGCCTTGGTCCTGCTCTGGTTTTAATGAAAATGTTGAGGCTATCACCTTAAAAAAAGTCCCATTCACTTCTCCATCTACCTGCAGATTCTTTAGTTTTCACCTTTCACGACACCTTATCCTCACCTCCCATGGTACTTCCATAATATAGCCCAGATTTGTTACCTATAACACCATGCAATTTCACTCTGCTCTGCCTCACTGCTTCCCCCTCTTTTACTTTGGGAATTCAGGCCATGGGAAGAGAAGCCATCAAGCTTAACTCTGCTTAAAACAATTGCTTTCATTTCTATATTAGAGCTGACAGTCCTCCCACTCATAGAGATTGTTGAACAGATTTACACAATGCCTTGTAGATCTGATACAAACTGTTTTATCTACAAAAGAGAAGGATTGGTAAGAAGTGATTATATGAAAAAGATTTTCCTTGCTACCTTTTCAAATATTGTCTATATGTAAATTTGTCACAATCTGTTGTTGAAACATTTGTTTTTCCAAAGTTGTATGCCATTTATAGCCCATTAAAAAAAAAAAACAAATACAAAACTTTTCTATGACTTGAGGGCAGGTTAGACTTAAATTAGAAAACCTGTCCAAACTAGAAGTGAGGAAAACAGGGACAGAGGTAATAACGGATAGAAAATAAGGTCTGCATTGGCCCAAACACTTTTCCAAACTTATTTCTAAAACTATTCAGACCTGGAAAATACTCTGAATAAATTCCAAACCTTTCCAGACTTAGTAGGAACCCTGTGTGAATATGTGCCCTTTCTGCCATGATGTCAGGTTTGTTTTTGCTACTGTTCTATTGACACAATGAAAAGGGTAAACATTACCTGACATGTTGTTTTAGGTGGCTTGACTTCTTGTAGGCCTTGTTGCAGTACTGGCACTTGTACGGCCGTTCATTGCCCACATCCAGGTACTGCTGAAAAGTAAGGCGGCTATTCTGGGAAGGGACGAGGCCTGTTCAACAAATTAACACAAGACTCTTAGACTCCAATGGGAAATGAAGTGCAAAGGTAAAGATAAAGCCTTTTATGATCAATAAAATTACAGAGTGATCATACCGTAATCTGTGATGAGGATGGGTTCCTGTAAGGGGATGTCAGGCAGAGGTAGGATGTTCTTGGAGGCTTTGGCTTTATTAGTTTTCCGTTGGAATCTGTTCTTCTTCAGCTGCAAGATTTTAAAGTGTGATGCTATGTGTGTTTTCCTGTGACCTGATGTGCGGAAGATCTTGTCGCAGTGAGGGCAGGGGAAAGGGCGCACACCTGGGAGCCCAGAGAGAGGAAAATAGTTATTTGCTAATAGACATCAATGCATTTAAAGCAACAGAGAAATTGAATTTGAATTCTATCGATGTTATGCTTTTTAATTTATAATTATTGTAGGTATAACAATGTTGTGAAACACACAAAAAAGCTTAAAACTGAAAGAAATATATTAAGAATCACAATAAAAGCACAAATTACACTTGAAGTACCTTCTTGTTCTTCTACTATAGAGTGACTTTCGGAGTGATTCAGTCAGATAAAAACTTAGCATTGGCTTTAAGCGACAAAAGGCAGGCCGCTGTTCTCACCTGTGTGCAGCCGCATGTGGACCTTCATGCTGCCTGATGTGGAGAAGCGTTTCAGGCAGCACTGACACTCAAAGGCCTTGATGCCCGTGTGCGTCTTCATGTGCGCAGTGAGAGTGCTCTTCACCGCAAAAGCTCGGAAACACTGTTTGCACTTGAAGGGTTTCTCGTGGGTGTGGATGCGAATGTGGCGCACAAGGTCGCTGGGCTTCTTGAACTCTTTGGAGCAGTAAGGGCAGCCATGCCAGCGGACACCGTCCTCTTCCCTGATCGAGCCTGTGCAGAGGAAACAGCAGAGTCACGTCTCCACCTCCTCCAATAAGATTTAAACTAAATGAATCACAATTTGTGTCATTCTACAACCTTTGATTTCACTGTTTTAATTGATAGTTTGGTGAAAAAATCCAAAACTAAACTCTGGTCACATTCAAAATACAAACTAATATTCTGAAAGTACTTTAAACATAGAATTATTACATACTGTTCAATAAATGATAAGTGCTTTAATTAAGAGTAATTTTCTTTTGCATGGGCTTTACTAGAGGCATCCATTGTTGTCAAAGAACACTACTGCCACCTACTGGTTTGTGACGTCACGGTGCGGTATCGGCTGTTGAGCAAGTCCTGTATCTGGTGTTTGTCACAAAGCGTTATTATCCAAGTCATCTTGAAAACATTCTTCTTTGAAATGTTGGCTACATATTACGTGTTTTTTCTCTGGCCAGAAGTTTGATGCCATATCCTCCCTTTTCAAGTTGGAAACCCAACGACGAATTCGTCAGTGGAGGATCATGAATCGGAAAGGTGAAATAACACATTTTTTTTCCCACTTTTAACCGATGTATTACAACATCCAACTCCCATGCACGTTGCCATTGTCAGTTTTCACTATAGCTCTGGGGAATTTCAATAGTGAAGTCCTCTGGAAATCTTAAATTATTGTTGTTGATTGCAGATGTGTCTAGTAGCTCCCATGGATTTTCCTTGTAAAGCGGGGAACATGGCCCTCGGCTTACCACACCGTGAGGTCACTGCCTGAAGATGTCAGGAGTGAGGTGTTACTATATTTGGGCAAAAATGGCCGCTCCCAGACTCAGTGATCGCAACAAAAAATATTGTTTTTTACTGATTAACGCTAAATTTATTAAATCACTGCAAACCTATTAGTTCTAGATATAAATAATGATTAATTAATTATTCCTTGCTAACCGGACTTTACCTTTTAAAATTATTTAGTGTGATGCGGGGATGTTTTCTCTTCAGCAGGTAAAGGAGAGATAGTCAGAATTGATGGGAAGGTGGGTGGGGCTAAATAAAGGGAGATACGGGATGAACAAACTTCTACAGGCTGCAAGAAACGCTACATGTTTAGATTAAAACATGCCTCTGTGTTAAAATGGCCTGGTAAAAGTCCAAACAAATTAACAGTCAGTTTAAAAAAACACACAATACTCTACATTCAGACTGGATCTTTCTACAGCAAATTAAGTAAAGAAAAATAGCAATGTTGGAGACACAGCCCTAAAGCAGCTGTAATTGGTTGCAGTGTAACAAGACAGAAACATGCAATGAATGTATGACTGTTCCCAGCTGGTTCATCTGATTTATGAGCTGAACTCTTGGAAACGTTTCAAACCTAAAAGGCTTGACAAACTCTGACAGCAGCGCTCACCGACTAATAAATGTCCCCTGCCCCAGTCTACCTGGCATTTGTATAGGCTTCTTAAAAATGCTCCTCTTCTTCTCCCTTATGGATTTGTCTGGAAACTCCACTTTTTTGCTCTCTGGTGCAGAAACCTCAGAGTTCTGGTTCTGAGACACTGCGGATGCAGCCTCAGTCTTGGGCTGGACAACACTCAGACCACTGTTCTCCAAAGCTTGCTGCAAACACACAACCAACACACAACGCAAAAAATTTACTTTAAAATAACCTAATCTATAGCTCTGTGATAATTGCATCCAATTAATTCCCATTCATGACATCTATTAACTCTACAGCTGTGGATGAAGATTCATCATGGAGTCTCTTTTCCACTGCATGAATGAACTCCCAGTGACAAATACAGCTATAAAGATAAGAATTTAATTTCTGAGAGGTTATGATCCTGGCTGAGTGAAGGTCGTCCACTCACCTGCAGGATGTCCTGGTTAATGGCTGTTTCCATGGCAATAGCTGGCTCTGGAGGCTGCGGTTGTGCCGTCTCCCCGCTGACCTGCTCCGACAGCTCCAAGAGCTGCTGGATGACATCCGTCACCCCTTCAGCACCCTCCGACCCCCCGGCGCTCTGACCTGTCGTCTCGGTCTCCTGCAATCAAAAAGAGCACGGAATAAGAGTGAAAAGAGTTTAAAAATAAAAAAGAAACGAGCAACGTGAAGAAAAGATCTGGAGAGGCCAGAATTTGATGGCTGACTAAGCTTTATTACAGAGTCTCTGGAGCATAAAATGAGCAAAGGATCGGGCATCACTGAACAGAATGCCAATGTCTGATGCACTGACACGCAGACACAGGTGACTAAATAAACACCAGACGGTAATTAATCTAAATAAACAAACACAATTTATGGCAGCTAAACTAACATCAGTAAACTGTGCATAAAAGCTGGAAGAAGAATAAATTTATGGCCAAATTAGTCTCACAGAATGTTAACAGAAACAATGCAAGTAGGCACATTTTATTAATAAGAAAAAAACAGTGCTTCATAAAAGTAGAAAAAAAAACAATAATAATGATTAATGGAAGAAAAGTAAAGCTGAACGAGAAGCAAGAAAAAGTATGTTAGTTTAGGAACATCTTCAGACTATAGAGTGGAGCTGCTGCTGTCTGGTGGCAGTAAGAAGGTTTTGGTTTAAGGAGCTGGGTGCTCCAGTTAGATTATGATTATTTGTATCATTATTATCATTATTGTTAACATCATTACTATAATTATTATTATCATTATGATCATTATTACTATTAAGATCACTGTTATTATCATCATCCTCATTATTATTATTATTATCCATTATTATTGGACAATTTAATAACAAAGGACTAAGTTTGACCATCAAGGATCCTAAAAGTTCATGTCGGGACGTTAAAATGAGTTCGAAAGGTGAAAGTACGGAAGGCAAAGATGTTAAAGCTGTTTAGGCTTGGGCTCCTTTGTTTGTGATCACTTAGTGTTTCTCTTCAGAGTTCAAAACTAACCCTAAGAGTAGTTTTTTTTTTTTTTTGCTGTAAGGTCAATTATTTAATCTTAACATTTATAAATATAGCAAGGAATTTGATTGTGGTTCCACTTTGCTCCATATAAAGACGTTTAAAGTGCAATACACAACAAATGAATAAAAATAAATAGTCTTTAAAATATTTACACATTTATAGTATATTTCTAAAACAAAAAAAAGAATTTTGGTTGAATCAGTGCAAATAAGCAAAGAATGGATCTGAGTGCTTTGACTGATGGTCTTAAATCATCTGGTTTAACAGGCTAAATCTTCACCATCAGGCTATATCTTTGCCAGCACCCCTCAGTGAGATATAATACAAATGTGTGTTTATTTCTAAAGCTATGGCACATATCGACCCAATAAACTGCAGTTTTTTAATAGTAATCTAGTCTAACGCTAGCGTCTTTCATTCAGGTTTTCATATGACCTAATATTTCAGTGTCTGATCTGCACAGCCCTCCATTACTAAAGGCTTGCTGTGATTATATCAGAGCACAGCATGTAGATAAAATACAGGTAAAACATAAGTCTGTAAACTTGACTACAAAATAAGACAATACTCAAGACTGAATTTAGTTCGGGATTCTAATGCTAAGCTTTCAGCAATGCCTTGATCGCCTTGACTCCTAATCAAGTTGACAATAGAAAAACCAAACAGAGAAGTAAGAAACATAAAAGACAAGAAATTCCTTAAAATAACAGTATTACTATAGAAGCCATAGCAGATGAAGATTTATTTCCTTAAAATAGTGTTATGTTCCCTTTTTCTGCTTTTCTGTGAACCAGGAATGTAAGCAGAACAGGAATATCTGAATTATCTCAAAAGCAATGCTTGACTGCTTACCGAAGTGCTGGAAGGCACCTCAATCACAGACATGTGCATCTTGCTGATGTGGGCATTTAGGCTCCCCAGCTTCCTGAATGAACAGCTGCAGTCCATGCACGGGAACACAGGTACTCCTTTGGTCTGTAGGTGAAAACAACCAGATAAGGTATTACTGTCAACTGTTTGCTGCCAACAGGTACTTTCTGTGTTCAACAGGGAAAGATTACTGATGCTCTAAATGGGGATCAGAAGCCTACAGAGATACAGAGCTATGCCTACTGATGGAATGTGAACTGTACCTTGAAATAATGCATGGCTTCACATTGCCGTCTTTACATCCTCTACTTCGAGCATACAGAGATTAAAATAAATATTGTAAACGGCACCAATTTTCTCAGTAAATATATTTCTAGAGGTGCTATTGACATGACATTTTTACCACGTCGGTAACAATCCATGGAATCCAGACATACAAAGAAATAAAACCATAGATGTAGATGTCCAGAATTTAAGTTATGTGTGATAATGTGGAATTGCATAGTGAAAAAATATTGAATATACTTACTGAAATTTATGTAATACTTTGTACAAAAGCCTTTATTGGCAATGACAGCTTCAAGATGCCTCCTGTATGGAGAAATTAGTTGCATGCACTGCTCAGGTGTGATTTTGGCCAATTCTTCCAAACAAACACTCCTCAAATCTCGAAGGTTTCATGGGCCTCTTTTAGGAACTCTGTTCTTTAGCTCTTTCCATATTTTTTATTGGATTCAATTCAGTTGATTGGCTGGGCCCATTCTAACAGCTTTTCTGTCTCTGAAACCAACTGAGTTTCCTTGGCTGTGTGTTTGGGCTCATTGTCTTGCTGAAATGTCCACCCACATTGCATCTTCATCATCCTGCTAGATGTCAGCAGAATTTTATCAAGTATGTCTCTACATAATTTTTTCAATTCATTCTTCTTTCAATCATTTGAAGTTTGCCAGTACCATATGCTTAAAAACAACCCCACACCATGATGTTCCCACCTCCAAATTTCCCCGTTGGTTTGATGTTTTTGGGGTGATGTACAGTGCCACTTAGGCACCAAATATGATGTGTAGTATGACATCAAAGAGTTCAATTTCGATCTCATCTGACCAGACTATATTATCCCAGTATTTCACAGGCTTGTCTATATGTTAGGCAGCAAACTTTAAGTATGCTTCAACATGCTATTTCTTCAGCAATGCAGTCTTTTTTGGTGAGTATGCATACAGGCCATGGGAGTTGAGTGCATTGCTTATTGTTTTATTTGAAACAATTGTACCTGCTAATTTCAGGTCTTTCTGAAGCTCTTTACAAGTGGTCTTTGGCTCTTGGACAACTCTTCTTGTTATTCTTTTCACTCCTGTGTCAGAAATCGTGCTGGGGGTACCTGGTCGTGGTCGGTTTAATGTGAAATGATGTTGTTTTCTTCCCCACTCCCGGATTATGGCCCCAACGGTGCTTACTGGAACCTTCAATGCCATTATTATGATTTGCAACAATAAGGTTGCGAAGGTCTTGAGAAAGCTCTTTACTTTTACCAATCATGACGTGTTTCTTGTTTGTTACCAGAGACACCTTTTAATAGGCCATCGTTTGGGACTGAACCAGCTGATATTAATTTGCACTGAAAAGGAGCAGGATTGCTTTCTAATTACTGAGAGATTTCTGCTGGTGTCTCTACTTTCCTTCCCTCTTTGCACCTCCCTTTCTTCATGTGTTCAATAGTTTCCCCCTGTGCCATTCTACACGTTTACATACAACTTAATTTCTGGACATCTATGGCTTGATTTCTTTGTATGTGTGGACAGTGGATTGCATGGACCATTACCAAATCTGGTGAAAATGTCATGTCAATAGCGCCTCTAGAAATATATTTACTGAAAAAAAAAAGGGTGGTGTGTTAAATACTTATTTTACTCGCTGTACCTCTGATGTAAGCGCTAACATTATACACAGAAAACAGCATAATTGGGAAAATGCTCCTGCATTAAGACGACCTCCTTTCAGTATTGCTAATGTGTTTAAAAATGACAGATAAAACAACGGGATGGGGGGGGGGGGAAGTATTAGATATGATAGAGTTGTCTGTGGTTTACTCAGGTTACAAGACAGCAAGAGAGAGCCAGACCCAAAGCAGATAACAGGAAGGTTGAAAGGAATAATACAGATCTCTTTAATGGAAACCTCTCAAGCTTTCAACTACAATGTAGAATTAAACATTTAGGGATATCAAAAACCTACCTCATCTAGAAATTAGGTACACCGACACGGCTTCTACTTTGCGATGCTAGCTGTGCTCAATGCTAGCTGCGCTCACAGAAAAAAAATGGTTCTACAAACATCTGTTTCATTGTTTTAATAGAAAAGTCCTGATTCAAAGCTACCTCCTAATCAGAAATCATTCTAATACTCATTGTTATTACACGTTCTATAGACCAATTATCATCGTTAAAAACTGGAATCAGCAATCTAAGGTTTGAAATTGGCAAAAACCTCTTATCAATTATTCTACATACAGATCCATCTAAAAAACACCAGCTTTAATTTTCCCTCAACAATCCAAATGATTCGGTTAAAATATTTTTTCATTTAGAAGAAAATTGCCAGATGAAAAAAGCCTAATCTAATTATTTAGGGTGTAAGAGCTGTCATTCCATTTACCTCTAGAAAGAGCTAAATTGAACAGTCGAGGTAATTAGAAGGTGCACCTGTGCCGCCGCAGCTGACAGTTTTGGCAGACATACAAATTATGTATTTTACAGACTTTGCAGCTTTTGATTTTAAGAACTTTAAATTATAGCACAGCAAGGTGCATATTAACCATTTGTAAAGGGGTTGTACTATTTACAAAAAAAGTCTTCTTTATAAAAGTCAATTTTTAATGATTTTTCTGTCTGAGACACCCGTCAAAAAGATAGATTAACCTGATATTCAGCTTAATTAGCAGAATGGTTGCTAAAAACCTGTCTTAATTGCGTAGAATCATAATGTTTTAATGTTTGCCTTGTGTGCTTCAAACACACTGCATCAGATCAGTAACAATTTCAGGGAAGGATGCTCAGCTGTTGTAAGGAGCCTTCAAGGTGTCCAGGAGAGTCCAGTAAGAACCAGGATGGTCTACTGAAGAGTGTAATACGGTTTTTGGTTGCCACCAGTGCAGAGCTTGCCTAACCCATAGCCAATATGTGAATGTAAGTACATGAGCAGCCACAGAAAACAAACAAAGCAGCAAAAGAAACCCCCTCCCCCATAAGAGAAAATCATCAATAACTGAGTGAAATTTAACAATTTGATAGATTTGCAGGTAAAGGCTGTCAAAAGGTATAAAATGTACATATTTCTTCAAAGTTGTCTTACTTTAAAATGAGAGAAATATTTCCAGTAAAGGAAGTTGCTTGGCACTGAACGAGCTCGTATAAGATTCAAATCTTTGGAAGAACGAGGTCAGCTGATATGTAAGGCAGTCATGTTGGACTGTGTTGTCAGGGTTGGTGAGCTACCTCCGTCTGATCCATTTGTGATCGGGACTTTAGTTACCCAGTGGAAAAGGAATCCTAACCAAGTTAAATCTTTCTACCAATCTAGGAGTATAAATCTTTAGAGCTTGGGAACCTTTATAGGGTAAAAAAAACATTTACAGCCTGCACATAAAATACCAACTCATTCCCATCAAATACTACTTTGTGCCCATAGAGTACTACTTTGTGGCCAAAGGTAGAATATATCAGAGGAGGAGGTTGGGGGTAAATGGGGCTGTTGCTTCCCCTCGTCCCTGACTAACTCCACTTACTGATGTTTGTCCCACAAAGTCAGTGAAATAGGAGCATTTTCACTGTTTTAAAAGCATTTTGAGGTTTTAGCCAAACCCTTTCTCTTATTCCTACTTTAACAACATTGCCTTTTAGAGTCTCTAGTCATGCATTTTCCCCTTTACATTCATACATTTTTATTCCAAAAATACCTGAGGAGTGGGCAATAACGGTTTTACTGCATACGTTATGCTGGTTCTGGAGAATCTACTCCCAAATTGCACTTTTTTTGTGAAGCCCAGAGCTTTAATGGGTTTTCTTGTCTGTCTGGGTTAACAGAGTGTAATCAACGCTCTATTTATGTAGACTTGACCCTTTCAGCCCATCACTAACAGCAGAGCAGTATGGAGTCTATATGCATCTGTCCAGAGATGGGAGATGTGGAGTCAATAAGTCATCTCCATGCCATTTATTTATTATGCCCAGTCAGTGAACCAGGTCCAATCTGCAGAGTAAATTAAATTGGCAGATCGGACTCACCTTTTCAGTGGCTGGGCAGAGCAAATATATATATATGGCATGGAGATGGCTTGTTGACGCCCAATCTCCCAGCTCTGTGTCCGTCCAGATCCCGAACAAAGCATCTGCTCACAAAAAACATCTATAGTCAGCCTGCAGCATGTGGAAATACGTGATCAGAGGCGCCCTGTGCAACCAAGCAACACAGATGAAAAATCATCTCAGGTCAGGGAAGAAGCTGAGATCACAAACCTACTGCTGTGAATAATGACCACAGAGGTTACAGACTATAACTGTAGAAGAGCAAGAGAGAAACAAATGGATAAAAATCTGTACTTTAATGATGCGTAATAGGTTGTATTTCATCTTAGGCCACAGATCCTGGTCATATTTTCCTTCTGTCATTTTAAATTTGTTCACCCTAACAGAAAAGGTCCCTATCTCCTCTGCCTTCATCTATGCCTCATGGAGATCATAACCACCATGTGATAACTGTGTTAAAAACTGCAGCTGCCTTTTAGATGCACATATTCCTAACAGACAAGTGATGATTAGTCTTTTGTTGCTTTAGTGGATCACACTGGACCTTTTAAATAAACATATAGTCTTAGTCCTGAAACATGGAGTGTTTGAGACAAACATGTCGGTTAGACAGCGGCTGTTATTTTGCCTTCTGCATTTTTATACAGTCAAATGAGGGACATTGTTTCAGTTTACAGGACACCATGAGAGAAGTGAAAACATACAGCACAGACCTGCACACATCAGGATATCTTGTTATCATATACTGCTGTCAATATTCCACCAACATTCCTCGTACTAATGATAATTCCTTGCAACTCC